ATGCCATATTCATTCCCAACATTGTCCTCAGCAATGATTAACCTACAGTATACAAACGTGTCGGCATTGAGTATCTTAGATACATCATTTGTTTTTCCCATACTCCGTACCCTTACCTCAACTGCGCCAATCCCCGGGACCGCCCAACAAGCAGCCCATTTCACATGCCAGACGCGCCCCCCTTCCCTCGCTCTCCCACGCACTCCCGAAACCCCGTAACAAAGTTATTCTCAACTCGTCGCCCATACTCCGTACTGGCGTACAAGCCCTGGCCGTTCAATTGCCACCTCGATCCCCCCCAAACCCAGCGGGCCGTGAACCCAAACCCACCTATCCCCTCGCAAATCATCGCACGCCTGGCACGCAACCCACGAAAATGACCCGCCGAGGCCGGTCGATCGACCCCGTAGGGTCCGGGGCCCGCATGTGAAAATTGTCCTGCTTCGATCATCCATGGGCGAGATCTGGATGTACTTTATCGCGAGGGGCTGAATGCAGTCCGGAGTATCTAAGCTTACTTCTGGAGGTGGGTTTGGATGATTTCATGACTTGCAATCGCTGCTTTGGTATTTGATGGAGATAAATCGTTAGTTGTTCGATTAACTTTCTACTCGGCTTTGCAAATCTTTGTTCGATTTGATACCGCTATGTACCATTTCTTAAAAGTGCCGTGAGATTAATCCCTCACCGCCTCCGAGAAATGCGAAATTTTGAAAAATTAGAATGTTGGGGCTCCCAAAGGGGATTAGTGCCATTTGGCGGTGGCGGATTTCCCGAGTGAAGAACGACGGGGTTTGGTAATTTTCATTTGAGAATACAGTACCGCATAGTTATGTATATAGTTCCCAAAAAGACAATCTCGTGCTGGACGGCAGAGGCGTACAAAAGTACAAAGTTCAGGAAACCAGAGGTGACAAGGTTTAAGGAGCACATTGAATAAAACAACAGATGAAGATCCCTGTCTTCAACCAGAATCAGAGTCAAATCAGATGTTGCAGTCCGCTACGGTGGCGTTGACCAGATCTATCCAATCGATGGGCTCGGTCGGGAGGGCCGTGGCCCTTGTCATGCAAGACGTGAGATCGGTCTACGGCTGGAAGAGGAGTTCATGCAGGACCAAGTATCCGTGAAAGGCGAACGAGCCAAAGTGGCGGATAGAGAGCAGTGAAGAAAATAAAAAGAAAAGAAAAGAAAGAAAATTTCGATGTGATGGATGGGCGGGCCCAGAGGCGAGTGGAGAAAAGAGAAAGATAGCCCGAATCTTTAATCTTTATATTGTTTGTGTAATTTTGTAAAATGTCTATCCACTCAATAATACATATACAACTACCACATATGGTGGTGGTACCAGGGGTAGGAGAGAGATTGGCAGGGACCGGGTATGAATGACAAATTGCAAATTACCCAGCCGAGGGGGAACCATGGGAAGATGAACACAAACAGACCGAAGTGTAGTTGTGGTCCCTTTTTTTGGCTTTTTGTCTTTTCACCTTTTTTTTTGCCATTCTCTTGTCAAAGGCGTTTTCAAAGGGAGCTGATCGTCTTTGGCCCTGCTTTATCAATCCCTTCAGCTCCTCTTCTCTTTCTCTCCCCCTCCTCCTCCCCCCCACTCCTTGTGTAACCGGTCAAGTCCAAAACCCCCCCCCCCAAAAGGTGACAGACCCATTGACTGTAAGTTAGCCACTGAACCCGCCCAATATCCACTTCATAACCCGACGATCAATTGCAAAGCTGACAGGCTCTCTCCCCCGATCCCCACAGGCTCGACTTTGGTTTTTTTTCATTTTCTTGATCGGGATTTGCATTTCGCAGCTAGTCGTTCCCTTTTTCTTTCCCTCCTCTCCATTCTTCCCAACATCCTCGCTGTGATTTGTTTCCGTTGGTTCGGTGGGCGCATTATAGTACGGCCGAGGAAAGCATTTGAAGACCTCGCCATCCCCTTGTTATAGAACTTCTCTGTTGCGTCTTTTTTCTCTGGGAATTGATCATCCGTTCGTCGTCCTCGCCATGTCGTCGACTGCTCTTCCCAAGCGCGTTGCGCTGCATCGCAACCCCACCACCGACTCGTCGGTGCCTTCGTCGGTCTCGGCCTCGCCTTTTGACAGCCCGCGTCAATCGCCCTCGTCGACCTCGCTGTCCTCCATGGCCTCCGACCAGGAGGTCGTCCGCACCAAGATGCTGGACACGTACGGCAACGAGTTCAAGATCCCCGACTTCACCATCAAGCAGATTCGCGATGCCATTCCCGCTCACTGCTTCCACCGCTCCGCCGTCACCAGCTTGTACTATGTCTTCCGCGACATGGCCATCCTGGCCTCCGTCTTCTATCTCTTCCACAACTATGTCACCCCGGAGACCGTTCCCTCCATGCCGGCTCGCGTTGTCCTGTGGACCCTGTATACCGTCATCCAGGGTCTCGTCGGTACCGGTGTCTGGGTTTTGGCTCACGAGTGCGGTCACCAGGCCTTCTCCCCCTCCAAGGTCCTGAACGACACCGTTGGCTGGATCTGCCACTCCCTTCTGCTGGTCCCCTACTTCTCGTGGAAGATCTCCCACGGCAAGCACCACAAGGCCACCGGTAACCTTGCCCGCGACATGGTCTTCGTCCCCAAGACCCGCAGCGACTATGCCTCTCGTGTCGGCAAGACCATCTACCAGCTCAGCGAGCTCGTCGAGGAGACCCCCATTGCCACTGCTACCCACATGATCGGCCAGCAGCTCTTCGGCTGGCTGTTGTACCTGGTTACCAACGTGACTGGTCACAACAACCACGAGAAGCAACCCGAGGGTCGTGGCAAGGGCAAGAAGAACGGCTGGGGCGGTGGTGTCAACCACTTCAATCCCTCTAGCCCCCTGTATGAGGCCAAGGATGCCAAGCTGATTGTCCTGAGTGACATTGGTCTCCTCCTCACCGGCTCTCTCCTGTACTATATCGGCTCCACCTATGGCTGGATCAACCTGCTCGTGTGGTACGGTATCCCGTACCTCTGGGTCAACCACTGGCTCGGTAAGTTTTTTTTCCATCCGATCTGATCTGAACGCAGTCAGCTCCAATCTTAATATACCGGGGTATCAATATCACTAACATCTTCTCATAGTTGCCATTACCTTCCTGCAGCACACTGACCCCACCCTCCCCCACTATGAGCCCGAGGTGTGGAACTTTGCTCGTGGCGCCGCTGCCACCATCGACCGTGACTTCGGCTTTGTCGGTCGTCACATCTTCCACGGTATCATTGAGACCCACGTCCTGCACCACTATGTCAGCAATATCCCCTTCTACAACGCCGATGAGGCCAGCGAGGCCATCAAGTCCGTCATGGGCGACCACTACCGCACCGAGGCCCACACCGGCTGGATCGGCTTCATGAAGGCCATGTGGACCTCTGCCCGCGCTTGCCAGTGGGTTGAGCCCACCGAGGGTGCCCAGGGTGAGAGCAAGGGTGTTCTCTTCTTCCGTAACACCAACGGCATCGGCGTTCCTCCCACCAAGATTGCCGCTAAATAGACGAAACGAGACGAGACCAACGCCCCGACCTGCTTCGCATCTGTCGCCTTTTGTTGATTTAGTTTTTTGTTTGAGATCTGTTGACCTTGTTCTTTGTGTATACATGTTGTGTGCACTGCATACACAGTTGTCTTCTTTTTGCCTTTTTTTCTTCTCTGATGAGTTGTTTCTTGCTGAGAATATAGATGAGAGAAAGATGATGCTGTAAAAGGAGTTTTTAATTTTCAAATTCCAATCCTTTCATAATTGTTTCTTGCCTTTCGTATGTCCCGTTCTTCGGTCGGTCTATTTCGCGAGCTCGACATGGCTGCGCTGGTCGTACCAAACCGGAATGGATCTAAACTGCCTGAAGATGATCTTGGGACGTCGATGTGGATGAAACCCTATTGAATGTCGCCGCAGTTTGGTTTTTTTAGTCTCATCTTTCTGATTTATTCACCTGCGTGGCTATTAATTTCATCTCAAGTGCACTCTGCAAAGCTTCCAAGTTGTCGCAACATGATTGTCTCAGTTAGGGTCTGGAGCATCTCGGTCCAGCAAAAATGTCCCTGGTTAGTGTTCCTGTCTGCGCCCGTGGAACGTAGACCCTGTTGCGCGCTGATGAGACTTCCAGCGGCATGAAGACCTGGATCCTCTCCGTAGGCAACAGCATTAATGCAGACGAACCCGTTTTATCAAGGCCACTGAGCCACTCAGGACGGGAAGAGGGTGCTTGCTGGCTGAGGCTGTTAGTGATCAGTCTGGTAGAGGTTGTGCTGTTGCAGGGGGTAGGAAAGTGTAGAGTTCCGGCAAGAAAAGATCTTTATGCGTCAAGCGTTGAAACAAGGCAATCATGTTAAGTCAAATAAGTCCCCCCATCGATGTGACGTTGGAAGGTGGGAACAAGAATTAAGGAACAGAAAACAAGAAACCGTTGGATCGTGGATCCTGCGGGGTAAATTGGCCTTCCGTCGCGTACCGGTCATGGGGCTGGGGTTTGGTTGGATCTTTATGGGAGGACTTGGGCAGATGTTTACTTTGTATATATACTTAAGATGAAAGAGAGCTTGTTTCTTGTTAGGATTGTGCATTGTGACGAGTTCTCCATTACGAATCTTATGCCAATGGTTGCTTTCTAGAATCAGTCTGACGAGTTCATGCGAGCTTGAAGGGGACTAGTAACATCTGATTCTAAATGTATAACTTACCCATCGAATAGAGGATCATTGGCAAATAAGGGCTTGATGAATGGAGCAGTTCACTTATTCTCGAAGGCTTGGATGTCTCATATGTGATTCGTAGATCTTGTATATGTCACCAAACGCCTAGATAGCTAATAATTAGCTTTCCGCGGCTAGATTGCGAGTTTCCCCGCGCCACCGACAAAAAGCCTAGGCACGAACGACACCCTCGGCATCGCGTTCGCCAGGAGTAACTTCAAGACAAACCCAATCTCCATCTTCTATAGCCCTCTCAAGACTCCTTACCTGTTTGAACTCCTTCAACATCAAACATGGCAACCAACGATCCAACCCCCTTCCAATCCATCCCCTGGGTATCAGGGCTTCTCAAAGATCCCTCCTTCAAAACCGTCACCATTGCCTCAAGAACAGTCAAATCCTCCACGGAAGACAACCTCTTCTCAAAAACACTCAATACAAACACAACATTGTCCGCTTGTCTCAGCCAATACCGTCCACCATCTTCCACCAACACTTCTACCCCACAAAATCCACTCGGCGAAGAACTGCGCGTGTTCTTCCTCGTCGGGTCTGATCTAAACGGATACCCAGGTATCCTACACGGTGGTATCGTTGCCACGCTGCTAGACGAAGTTACTGGTCTCTTGTTATCTTTGCAAGGTCATGTGGGCGATGCTTCGGCTCGCGAGGCGAAAGACGCTCAACCAGGTCCCGTGACTGCGTACTTGAATACCAAGTTTATAGGTCCTGTGCCGACGCCGGGGGCGATCCTTGTACAGGCGAGGATGATTGAGGTGAAGGAGAATCGGAAGTGGAGGATCGAGGGGCAGATTCGGGATGGAAAGGGTCTGGTTCTTGCTGAGGCTGAGGCGTTGTATGTTAAACCGAGGGCTAAGATTTAGATTGTTAGAGATGGTGACAGAGGTATCTGAGAGAGATTATATTCCTAGAATATGTTAGAAAGTGGGTTGTTCTTTCGATTCTATTATTTTCTTCTTACATTTTGCTGTTCTTTATTTTTTTTGTGTCCCGGTCATTGTAATAGATCATCTCGATTGGGTGTAGACCTAGTGTTCAAACCCAGAAGCTCAATGTTGATCGCATAAAGCCGTTCTGATTCTCTGAGGCTAGCACTATTTTCATTTGTCACTATTATTTGTTCATATGCTATTATTACTGAAATAGAACGAATTCCTCTCGGACTGGGTCCACATCTACATAGCACCCAGGGTACAGTACGGCTTAGGGTGGCTCCGCCGGGGTAGCGAAAGGGCAATCCCGACTGATATATACTCACAGGGTCTAGACGTAGTCGCAGCTCAATTATAAGATCTATAGCAAATCCCATCTTATTGCGATACATTCTGGTTATTTTTAGCCATGTCACCTACAAAAATATACCCCGGTCGGAAGTATGGTACTAGATCGGGACAACAAAAAGAAAAGTTGAAACGTCAGCTACAGGGTTCGAACCTGTGCATCCGAAGATACTTGATGCCCAAACATGGTAGGGTTTCCCCAGAAGTTCAAGTCAAGCGCCTTAGACCACTCGGCCAAACTGACATCAACACTTTTGAATCCATCATTTGACTACATGACCCACTACTTTAATGGCCTATCTGGGTAGTGTGACTTTCCGACCCGGAACTAACTACATCTCCCTAATTGGGGTTAACAAAATTTGGTGGTTAAAACAAAAAAACAATGCTACATAATATCTTTTCTCTTATTAGATGCATTCTAATGAAAAATCTCGTTTAGAAACTGGGCTTTGAAACTAGGTTAAAGATAGGCTGTCTTGCAATTGTCGAATCACGTTGGCAATTTCTTTATCTTGTTAATTTAGACATTCATTCTACGAATCTAAATTAAAGGCAATCGGTATATAATAGAGTCAAAACAATGACAGTCGACTCGGGTTCAAAGAGAACAAAGCCTTTCAACACAACGAGCGCCCGACAATGCAACCTGCCTTGTCCAATGCGTCGCCGTCCTCCCTCGACCACCGCGACGTGAATATAAAAGGGAACCAGCCTCCTCACATTAAAGATCCTCATCCATCACCTTTGGCTCTATTGCTCACAATATCCTCATTCTTCACAATCCAAACTTCAAGCCCCCACACCTTCCACCATCACACTTGCATTTAGTAAGTACCCCCATCCAAATCGCAGCAATGGAGAGTTACGAAGAAGCTTTTAGCTACAGCCGAGACAACATCATAAATCGACTGGTAGATGCCATCCACAAGCTTGAGGAGTTCCCCTATTTGTTCAACGAGGTTGCCGCCGACATCCAACTTGCGGCCAGCCTGCTCGAAGCCAACGTCAAGGGCAATGGTAAGCTCGAAGCCTCTCGGGTAGGTAGCGACGTGCCCGCTTGCTTTGAAAATCGGTGTGATATGCTTCGAGATGCCATCTACCGGCAGGGCTCATTCCTTGCTGGTCACTCCGGCCTTGTTGCCCACACATGTATCACGTTGGATTATTTTCGAATTCAGGTCGGTAGACTGACCCTTCGATCCCAGGTGAATGACTCTTATGCAGAGCTGATGGAAAGATATGCTAGTTTGCGAGTGTCCAACGCAGAGACCCGTCAGCCATTGGAGAATGAGGCTGAGGAGGGTCAACTCAAGGCTATTGAGAAGAATTTTGACATGTTGAACCAGGCGTTCCATAACTGCAGCTGCAAACAGTGCACCAAGCGCCGGCTTATTACGTGCTCATGAAGAATAGCTACTCTTCTAGCTAGTTACCTAGCTATTGAATTGAAATTTGAACTGTACTTATTTATCTAAACCTTCGTTCGGGGATTGGCACGTTGACTCTAAAATGGGACGACTTCTGCCACTGTTTCGTACTTAGCGTGAAGAGAATCTGAGCTTAGTCTAAGACTCTTCCCCTCATGAGCGTGATGTGTTGTATTATATTGTATCCTCTGCATAAGGTCACGTTCTCTTGCCAGAGTACAATGGCAGTAATCAGGGTTGAATCTACAGTAGAGAGGGAAACGGTGCTACCAACATTTTTGAGTTTCTATACGCCCAAAGCAGGGGCTGTTTATTCATTGAGGTAGAACTTAACTGTGCGATAGTTCATTCAAAGTCCACCATCTATTCCAAAGTGTCGAGCAACTTCAATCAGACCTGAACCTCCAATTTCGACCCAAAGATCAACGAATCCCTCCTCTCTGGCTTTTGCAGCGTCTTTACTATCCCAAGCTTCCTCCAAGTGTCTCTCGAGATATATTGTTTGAAACCCACATTTTTTGGCAGCTTGCAAGTCCTCAAGATGGGCCGCGACAAGACAACATTGCGAATTTTCGAAACCGAATCTTCGAGCAGCACCATTATAGGCCTCTGGCGACGGCTTATAGGCGCCGAAATGCTCTGCACTGGTGATATGCTTGAAAGGCAGAGAATTGTGCTTCTCCAGGTCTTTGAGAAGTTTTATATTGCCATTGGATAAAGTAGACGTCGGAAATTTAGTGCCCAGTAACTCAAGGCCTGGCACACTGTCAGGATATGAGTCAAGTCGATGCCAAGAAAGTGTCAAATAATCGAGATCGTCCTCGTTGAATAAGTCCCGGAGTTGCCGTTTGGTGAGAATGCTGTCCAAGGAAATTCGGTTGTGCTCATCTACTGAGACAAAGGGCTTAGATGAATCGTAATTGTTCCCAAAGTTCATATATGCGCGGTGCCACCCCGCAGAGATTTCCTCCCAGCTCGAAGTGGACATATTGGAGACTCGTGCTCGCACATCGGCGCTTGTATTGCGAGCTTCATCTTGCAAAGCTCTTTGTGCTGCAGCATTCAATTCTCTCGCGATGCAGCACCTCCATTCCACGATGGTTCCCAACACATCGAAGAATAATATCGACGGAACATTATCTTGTGACATCTTTATCGAGGCTTTTTTGAGAGATACTAAACAATGAAGTCTTTTCCCTGAAATGTAGAATATCTATACCTGAAAGCATGGCAGGTTCCTCGTCAGTCAAAACAGAACTTCAAAAAAATAGCACATAAATTACCGTCAGAAATCAGGAACTGGTATAAACGTTCAGATGATACATACGTTCGCAATGATACTTGGCTTTCTTAAATATCAACGCCGTGAACGTCCAGTCTTTCGATCAACCTCGGGATTTTATTGCTTTGCATGTGATTAGTAGACACAAGACCTCAGCAAGGCTCGCGGGTATCGCGGGTTCAGAACTCGATCTAATGGGCCAAAACTAGCCAAAAATCTCGGATCGAGTAATTGACCTCTGGGCCGCTTGTCAGCCTCCCATACGTGTAAGCCATAGATGACTCATGATCGCGTTTTAGACAATACCGCAGAGCCTACTGGCTACACATGTATACTCTTATACTTCCCACGGTTGAATTCCGAGCCACATCGTTCTGGGTACAACTTTCAATAGGCTCCTTTGGCCCAGAAACAGCGCCATTCGCAATGTCTTCTTCATCAGGCACCTGTGATTCCCATTCAGCATAGACCGCACGAACAAATGCTGCTTCATCATCATCTTCGGAGGCGCTCAAATTTGAATCCATAGCTTCCTGATCCACCATAATAAAAACCCGGTAGCGGCCGATACGTGCTCGGTAATCTTTAGCAACACTCTGTTCCTCTCTTAACGAAAGTCTTAGCTCACTGTTTGAAGTGCTCGCGCAGAGTAGCGACTGCCGCGCCCTCAAAGCAAGGGTCTTCCATGACCGTTGGGGTGAATGTGTCGAGGAGATCAAGGCCATTATGAAACTCAAGGTAATCTGGGACGGCGCTCACGAAGCCAGCCATAAAAATCTCCCATTCAGTGTTGGTTTGGTATGTGCGTCGATAGATCACAAAGCCCCATTTTTGAATAGGTATTGTCAAGGGGTTTCTCGAGCCGGTCCGCCTCATTCAGACCGGCATCCATTGTGAATCACGTTTCGAGGGGAACATTGTTGAAAATCTGGTATTGGCAATCCCAAAAATTGGTGGTATAAAGGCGGGCTTCGCGAGACGCGAAAGCCGGCCAATGGGATCATGCGAGCGAACAATACTCGGGCTGCTGGAAAGGGAAGATTGGCTATAGAAGCGGGGGAACACAGGGCGTGGAAAAAGTGTAGTCTGAAGTAATTTTCTGCTAATCATAGCTGTGAAGGTGCCTGTGCTGTCATGAGGCGACGAAATATATGAATGGGGAAAGCAAGGCTGGATTAGTCAGGGAGTCAGGGAGCTGGGCATGACCTAAGGGCAAATTGGGAAATTCCCAGTTTGCAGGTCCGCATTTACAGTCTAGATAGATTCTAGTTAACTTAATTCCTACATGGGCGGTCCCTGGCTGAGCGGGCCACCCAGCCACCATAATAGATACAACTATTCAGATAACAATATATCGATAATGAGAAGATTATACTAGTTGAATTTCTGAATACTATAATTATCTTGCATTAAGAACAGTCTACATGAACTGATATATTCGAATAAGATAAGAAAATGGGCTCCGTCTCGTGTGATCTATCGCTCTTAGGTGAAGAGGTTTCTCCTTGCTCCATATCTAGTGCCAACATGATCGAGGCCATCAAGTAATGCCCCGTCGGAAAATGTGGTCGCTTGCTTCCTCACACAGCGGCAAGACAAGGAGACACTTCGGCCTCTGTAGTGGTGAAGTTCTGGGCTCACAGGTCTCGAAATAGTGTCTTTCCACCTTGAGTTGAAAGCTTCATACCCACGATCGAAAGCTTCAAAGCTGCGAAACGACCGAATTTGATAACTAGCGTGAGGGGAAGCCAATTAACGTAACCTTATTGAGCAAATAGCATGATCATTGCACCGAACACCGAGCAGAATATATGAAACTCGGAAAAGCCGACCTTAACGAAGTGGGGTTGCGTACGGAATTGCGTACGGGTTCGTGGGGTATTGCGGGGTATTGCGGGTGTATCAAACAGTTCTCTTCTCTGATTGAGGTCTTATTGCCAATAACGAGCTTGGAAACTTGTTCTAGGACACTTCCGAAGATAACCCGAGGAGCGAGGGAGGGGGGGGGGAGGCTAAAGGGAAACATAAATAGTGTACGTTACCGTCATTACGATTTGTCGATTTGAGTGATTCATGGCCTGTAGTCATGACAATGCGGGCCCAGGCAACCGCGAAGTTGTTCCTTGTAGGCACATTGGTCGCAGTCTGCAATGCATCGATTGAGTGAATTACCCTTTACAATCTAACTTGTATCATTACCGCTGACGAATTCTTGGTACAGCAATTTCCTGCCTCAGAGGTACCAATTGGGTACCCAGCCGAGCATAACAACCAAACCACTTCAAACCGGCCAATCCATCACCGTAGATTTCGACAATAATCCCGTTGTCACCTTAGATTATGGTCACGAAGTTGCGGGTTTCCCATACTTTCAAATCTCCGATCTGAGCAACCCTGTGCAGATCGAAGTCAAGTACACGGAACAATTTGACGGATTGAACCATGTCTGGGCCGATGGGCCATACTACTTTGCGAATGGGCTGTCCAATTCATTCCGGGTCGAGACATTCAACATCACGGAAACAGGAAAATTCGAGTCCTATTTTGTTCAGGGAGGACAAAGATGGCAGACTATTACGATTTTGTCAAAGGGCCATATTACGCTGACTGAGGTCGGATTCGTTCCTACCATCGACCACGTCGATCTTGACAACCTGCCTTCGACATTCACTTGTTCCCATCCAACATATAATGAGATTTGGAAACTCGGGGCCAACGCGGCCGCAGCTGCTTGCTTCGACGCTAGGTCCCAGCCCTCCACTTGGGAGGTTACGGAAGAGGGCGCTTATATCCGGGGTCAAAAGCCTGGGCCTGGCGTGAGTGGAATGGACTGGACTGACTACACTATGACCTTTTCATCTAAGATCGTCCGCGGAGGGACAGGCTGGTCTATTTCTCAGGCTGTCTCGGGTACTGGACTATTGCTCCTCCTGGTCTCTAATCTTCCGGATGAGACAACTTTTGTCAATACGAATAAGACTCTTACTCCGGCAAACTCCATCGTCGTTGCCTCTGGCTACGGGCTTGTGAATCAAACCACCCTTGACAGCCAGCTTGTTGGAAAGTTCCCTGTATCTGTTGATATCAAGGAAGGCGAATGGTACAAAATTTCCACCACGCTCCTCTCTGGCTCCCAGCTTTCTATTGATATTGATGGAAATTCCGTTCTGAACATATCACTAGCCGACTATGGAGTCTCTGCGCTGAGTGCTGGTGGCTGGGGATTCGGGCCCTATCAAGATCAAATCGCATTGTTCAAAGACGTGACTGTCCATGCAAGCAATGGAACACTTCTCTATAAGAACGACATGAAATCTCCCTCAATCTTATCCGAGTATGGCGTGCGACAAAACACCAAAGCTTTGTGCATGGACGGGGCTAAGCGAGATCGATTAGTCTGGCTCGGAGATTTCTTCCACACCTCGAAAATCCTAACATCAAGTACATCTCGCTGGGACTATGTTCAAGGAACGTTGAACTACCTGCTCGATACCCAGTTGCCAAATGGCCTCGTCAATATTGCCCCATCAATGGGATACAATACTTCATCCATGAAAGAAGTTCTCTACCTTTACTCGGGCTTGTATGACTACCAGATCCTGGGAGTTCTATCGTTCACTGGGTTTTTCCTAAGAAGTGGAGATTCGACTTGGGCCCGAGGCGTCTGGCCTTCCATCCAAAAGCAGATTTTGTGGTTACTGGGCGAAATCGACAGCAATACACAGCTCGTTGGCTTTGGTGGATTCCTCGGCGATGCAAACGGGACTGCGATTAGCGCCGCGCTTGTGCAGGCGCTGAACGAGGCCGCTATCGTGGCCGATGCTTTGGATGACGCAAAGAGCACACAAAAATACCGTGACACTGCTGCTAAGTTATCGAAAGCCATCAATGAGCACCTTTGGAATGATGACCTGGGGGTCTATGTGCGCAGTACCTCGTCCAATACCAGCTACGGAGTTGCGGATATCGCTTTCGCAATCAGCTCGGGTGTAGCGAGTGAGGAACGAGCTGCATCCTCTTTGGCCAGAGTCGCCGATTTGAAGCTTGTCCCCGGCTATAAGGATCTCTCCACCACCAATTCTTCTTCTGCCGATATTTCTCCGAATACCAACGGCTTCCTGCTGGCAGCGGCTATGGAAGCTAATGAGACCACCATCGCAAAATATCTCTTGGATAACCTCTGGACGGCAATGACAGTTGACAAATACAGCAGTGGTGCTTCTTGGGAGTACGTTGCTCAGGATTTGAGCCCGGGACTGAGCTTGTTTACCTCTCTAAGCCACCCATGGGGTGGCGCACCGACCTATATTCTTACCGAGCACGTTGCCGGCATTCGTGCAGTTACTCCAGGGCACAAGACTTGGATCATTGAGCCTGCAATCTCAGGATTTGATCTTGATTGGGCTGCGGCATCTGTTAAGTCTCAGTACGGACAGCTGTCTGTGAAATGGGAGCTTGGCAGTAAGGTATTGAAAGTGAATGTCACCGCACCACGGGGGACATCTGGCAAATTGAGCCTTCCATCTGATCTTCAGATAAAGGCAATCAAGGTCAACGGACACAAGGTGACTTCAGGGCACAATGTTCCATTGCAGAGCGGATCCTCTATTGTAACAATCCAATTAGATTGATCTGGACCTGAAGAATAGGCCGATTATCCTCTTGTAGAGCTTGCAATGTACATATGCATTTGAATCAATGTGGAATATCATACAAAGACCTATGTGTATGATGATTATTGTCTCTACTATTGCTTAGCTTCGCACATTCAGTACCTTTGTAAAAAGCAAAAAAGCTTCTTCGAACTAAAGGAAACCAATTACACAGAACATGTCCACACTTACTCAAGTCTTGCTTAGTGCTTCAGGTCTCTAGGCAGACACGAGTTGTACCAATTCTATTGCGATTAGAGTTTCTGAACCGAGTATGTCCTCCGACTCATCCGACTTAGTGGTTTCTGCGCAGACCCCGAGGGGGCAGATCTTCGAGCGATGACATACCAACGCGCAATATATGCTAAATAATTATCAATGATATCTAGTCAAAGTATCCTCATTTAGCCAGACACAACTTCTTCATTCTAATTACTACTGGATGCTCTTCAAACGAAAGGCTCCTTTCCAAGCACGTGGGTCGAACTGTGGCTGCTCTGCCATGGCTCGGACCCTTGGACCCGCGAAGCTTGGCTGGAAGCTTAGCCAACAACCCGATTGTCCCAAGAAGGCTTCTCTCTGCTTCCACCCGTGCAAGGACCCCTCTCGCTGGTCTTCCAGAACTGATCTTCAGGCCCTAGGAACATATGCAGTCTAGTGCAGTTGCACCTGCAACCAGCCACGAATGTCCGGGATCCGCTTGGACCCTTCTTCCACTCCGGTGCCCTCACATGTCTTGCGAGGGTCGTGGACCAATTTATGGTGCGCAACACGATTCCATAGCTTAAGAAAGGGCTATATTACCGAGACATCACATCCGTTCTTCGCAGAGAATTATTACCTTCCAGTTCCGATAGCCCTGGTCTTCAACAATGAACACCTTCACCAACGCCGTTTCGGCTTTGGCGCTCGCCTCTGCAGCCACTGCTCAGTATGCACTTCCCGCAAAGGACGTTTCTTTCATCGGTGGAAACGTCTTCAAGAGCAATGACCCAGCCGTCGCCAGCTATCCTTTCTCTTACACTCCTCCCTTCAAGACAGAGCAGTATGGCGGATACTACTCCTGGTCGGTAAACAACGAAACCGCAGCGGTACCAACTTCACTGGCTACGGCACCAAGGAGGGTTATACTCTTCCTGATGGTGCGACTGGCAAGTACCCTTACTTCCAAGTCAGCGAGGGTCACCCGAAGGCCATCAACAAGTCCAAGCTCTTTAATGTTTGCCATCCATCAGAGGGCCAATGCGAGGGAAAGTTCAAGAAGATCCTCCACATCATATTCGAGAACGAGGCCTACGACTGGACTATGGGCCAGGCATACAGGAAGCTACTCGCTACCCGTGGCAAGCTGCTTACCCGTAGTTATGCTATCACCCACCCATCCCTGCCCAACTATGCCGCTATCGTCGCTGGTGACTTCTTCGGTATGGCCCATGAGGATTTCTATAATGTGAACGCCACCAGCATCTACGACCTACTCGATGCCAAGAAGGTCTCCTATGGCACTTACGCCGAGTGGTACAATCCCATCGCAACTCACCGTGGTCCGAACGAGTGCAACAACTATATCACCAACGGCCCGATCGACAGCACCAACCCCGATTGGTCGTCTCAGGTCTACCGTCGTCTCGACGTCCCAGCACTACTCTTCGGCTCCTACATTAGCAGTTACGAGCGCTGCAGCAAGATCTACGGCGCCAACAACACCTTCGCCGATCATGTCATGTCTCACATTTTGCCAGAGTACTCCTACTACGTTCCTGATATGCTTCACAATGCCCACGACCCTGCCTCCGACAGAAACTATTTCAACCAGCCAAACACTGGTGGCGAGTGGCTCAACTCCTTCTTGGATCTGTACCTGCCCGAACTCGAGGCTCAAGGCACTCTGGTTGTCGCTTCTTTCGACGAGGCTACCTGGTGGAACGACGATGACTACTTGCCTAACAATGAGAACCACATTGCCACTCTCCTATTCGGCGCTGGTGTCACCTCCAACACTACCGATGACAGCTACATTACCTTGTACGGGATGTTGCGAGGTGCCATCCAGAACTTTGGTCTGGGCTCGCTTGGCAGTAACGACACCAACGCCACCAACGGTAACCTCTTCGACCTGGTCGGCTCCGCTGACTTACACAAGAAAGCCAAATTGGGCGGCGAGGCCCCTGGCAATGATGAGAAGTCTTGAGCTGTGTCAAGAAATAGCAATCGATGAGAAGAGTTCATCCATTGGGTGAGTGGGAGAAGATAGAAGGGGGCTAACGTAAGCGGAACTTTGGAGGAGGGCGTATTCTTGTCTAATTTTAGAATTATTTTTCTTCCGTGCGTCTAGCGCACTTGCCACATTTAACATTAGTCGCATTGAAAGTTGAGGGTCAATCGACGACATTTTATCCCATCGTTTAATGTACACCGAGCTCAAAAGCTACCACTCTGTTTTTCTAGTGTTTGTGAAACCTATCTTAATCCAACCGACATGTCATCACTGAGTATTAGGTTTTCGCAGATGATAAGCTTATGCAGATCTGATTAGATACTGGTTTCTTGCATAGTTGCATCGCGCCCAACCGATAAGCGTTTGGAATTATTTAAATCAAGAAACCAGTACGTGACTGACTTAGTTAAGGTAGAAAGCCGAGACATTGAATCCGAGATTCTTTTCTTACAGCCGACGGCCAGACCAGCGGTCAAGAAACCCAAAGAACCCCGCAATTCCACCGCCAGATACCCAAAAAGAGTATCCCCCAGGACTCAACCAAGCTCAATTGCATTCTCCCAAACAGTTTTGCTTCACAAGTCCTGTATTCTATCGATCAGATCAGCTTTGATCCATATCAGACATCATGCCCTGTGCTCTTCACCCCCCAGCTTCACTATCGGCAGCCGGGACGAGCGGAAGAAGGTTTGGGCACGATCCGACCCAGGACTCCACTCGTGGCGGTATAGCGGCCGTCTGAATGGCTCGAGGCCGCGTCTTGTACAAGCGCACAACCGCCTTTCCCCCTTTTTCATGTGGCTTTTCGCTTTCCTATCCGGCTTTCTTATGGTAAGGAATTTCTTCCCTGAAGTTGGGAGATTTCGAAATCTCTTTCCATTGTAGCCGTGGAATTGATGATCTGGGATTGCTCAAGCTTATCTCGCTTGGATCTACACTGCAACCAAAATACTGCACGTCCACAAGACAGTTAATGCGGTGGAGTGGACGACCCCAAACAATGGCTGCCGATCAGATCTACGATATCCGCGAGCTGCCTGAAGACCCCCAGATTCGCTCGGGGCGCAGATACCGAAGTTACCTTTCCTATGTAGCCCAGTCTGCTATCTGGATCGGAAATATCTACATTGCCCTCCGTTTATTGGCAATATTGCTTTCCCCGCAAACATGGCAGGTTTGGATGATGTTCCTTGTCGAGGCCGTTTTCATTCGTGAGTGCCGCCACCGTGGAAAGACGTGAGAGAGATGCAGTTCTAATCAGATATCCAGACCTCTCGCGAAAAGATCAACACCTGGTCATTGCGGCGTCCAAGGCCAAGGAGAGTGGCCCCCGTAAGAAACTACGTGTACATGGGACTAAGGGTCTCCCCGACGTGGATGTGCTGTTGCCTTGTTGCGGCGAAGATGTGGGCGTCATCATGGCCACAGTACGTGCAGCTTGTGCCCTCGACTATCCACCGTCCTGCTTCCGCGTCAGAGTCCTGGACGACGGTGGATCCGCAGCCTTGAAAGCAGCGGTGTCAGCCCTGCAATCGCAATGGAGTCATGTCTCGTATCACTCCCGTGGGAGACAGTCCGGCATGGTGTTCGCCAAATCAGGAAATCTGAATTACGCCTTGACCACCCTGCAAAATGAGACTCCGCCTGAATTCTGTGCGATTCTCGATGCGGACTCCGTTCCATGCCCCCATTTCCTGCGAGCAACCTTGCCTCATCTACTACAAAGCCCAGACGCCGCTCTGGTTTCCACACGTCAATATTTCTCTAATCTACCAAATGGCGACCCGCTTTCTCAGACTCGGAGTCACTTCTACACGTGCCAGAATGCGGCTTTGGATGTCCTCGGTCTCGCAATCGATGCGGGCTCTGGAGCCGTCTTCCGACGGAGCGCAATCGTACAAGTTGGTCTGTACCCAACATTCTCCTTCTCCGAGGACTGGCAGCTGTCCCAAATCTTGCATGGCAATGGTTGGCGCACGTTCCAAGTCCAGGAGCCACTGCAGTTCGGTCTGGTCCCAGATTCGCTTACGGGCCACTGTGCCCAGCGAAACCGATGGAATATTGGACACGCACAGCAGATTCCTGCTATGCTCTCGTCGGATTACAAACACTACACGAAGTCTTTGCGGTGGAGCGTCATCTGGGATGGGTTCGGAATCGTGGCCGGAGAGGTCGAGTGTTTCTTCGGTTTCCTTGCTATCCCGCTGCTCCTTTTGTCAGGGCAGCTCATCCCAACAACCTACCCTGCCCTCGTCAAGGCTCAGATTTTCATGGCTATCTGTCAAGTCTCAGTCATGTGGATATATGAGTATCTTCAGGCTGCCCTGAATAACTTTCAGAGTGCACCCTTTGCTCACTTGGAAAACAAATGGTTGGCTGGGCGTAAGTTCCTCTTTTCCAGTATCATCCACGCGACAATTTCAACCCGGCTAATCTTTTACTGTAGCGAACATACTTGCCATCTTACGATTCTACCTCGTCTCCGCGAAGCCCAAGGGATCTTCCTTTGTCACAGGAAGCGTTCTCAATTCTTGGAACCAACACGCTTTGTCGGCGTGCAGGAGAATGTACCTCGATCTCTGGAAAAACGGCGTCTTCTACAATTTGTCACTACTCCTTGCTACCGCCTGGGCTGCTTATCTTGCGATAACGTCTTTGATGGCAGGTCAGGAGTGCACAATTACCAGCTTGCTGACTAGCGTCGCCTTCCCTCCCTTGTTGCATATCTGCTATCTTACGTTGACGTTTAACTGGGTCCCCGTCGCTTACATCCTGAATCCCCCTCACTACCCTAACCGTTCCTCGCAATCAAAAACCGAGAACGGGAAACCGGCATCCAACGTGGAGACCAAACGTGAAGCTACTTCGGAATCCAGATGGCCTGCCGTGGGCAAGGTTGGCAAGGAAATTCTGCATTTGGGAACTAGATTAGAGATCCAAGAGCGTCCTGAGCTTTAGGCGGTATTCGGACTTCGGTAATTTTGATAAGCATAGTCGGTGTTAAAAAGCAATCCACTACTTTTCTATTTCAGCCTCTGTTTCCGGCCGTCATCATGCCGTACTTGCCAGCTTTGAAATGGTATTAAATCTGATAGTATTCGTACAAACTCCTACGCTCTTACAACGCTCATGCCATTCCATTTTCCTCCAGCCCGTAGAAAAAGTTATCTTTCAACCACCAATCCTCCAAGAAAAGAGCGTCAAGTTGGGTATTCCCCCCTCCCATCCCCGAAAAGTCAATGTTTTCAGCCTCTCGCGCGACCGCCCCAACTCCCGCGGGAAGATTGGGCAAACACCATGACTTGAACCGAGCAAATATACCTAGAGCCCGTTCAAGAGTTCCGCCAGAACATTGCTCACCAAGCTCTGACATTGATTGCTCAATGTTTCTGATCACTTGGTCGATCACTTGGATCACGTCGATACTCCCTCTGACCAGATTAAGGTCCCAGGCAGGATCATTTAGAGTTGAGAGCTTATAAAGAACGATGATGTAGCGAACGAGTTGCGTGAAAACTGGAAAGGATATTCCCGGATAGTCGGAGATGGGAATTGTGAGAAAGTTTTCCGTTGCTGACTTGACTGTTTCGAGGCATGAGTAGAGGTATTCGAGGCGTTGGAAACCTGGTGGGCTTTTGCGGGAGAGGACCAGGCCGAAAATAGATAGCTCCGTGTAGAACACTGAGGCAGAAAGGATGCCTATCGAAAACAATTCAGATCAGAGAAACCGAAACGATAGGGAAAAAAGCCGAATTAACATGCGAAAGCAAGACTTACGGTCCTGCTGCAGGCGTGGCGGCATGCTTGCCTTGACCTCGTCTACTTTCTGCTGGAGAAATTTCAAATAGAAGTCTGGTGGAGCCTTTGTTGTCTCTCTAACACTCTCGACTTCTCCGACAATACGCTGCAGCCTGACTTGGTACACGAACGTCTCATCGTATGGAGATTCCTTGCTTTGCATTAATGCATCGATGCAGTCGTCCATGTAAGGCGTCCATTGCATTGAGTCAATATGGCCAAAGTACACGGAAACGCTGATAAAGTAAGAATCTGGACTTTCAATTTCGGGACGAAGAACTCACATTGAGCTGAGGACATAGCACCCTAAGACGGCTCGCTTTTCCTCCAGAGACCGTGGTAGGTTTTTGGAGGGGATCACACATTGACTGATGGGTAGCATGTTGGACTCTTCCGGTGGAGGCTTGTTCAAGCGAAGATCAAACACCAGCGTTGTCGCCAGCTGCGTAAATCTAGCCAGTTGGGCGGGGTTGGAATTGAGAAGTTGATTGTGTCCCCAGGCAAGAAAGATCAAAAGGCCGAGCAGTAGGTCAATGTTGATGGTAGGCTCATTGTCGAGGAAAATACGTCGTATCACTTCTTGCTTAATTCTGTCACCCAGCGCGAGCTTCGTCTGTGTGGATTGAGAAGCTGCAGCAACTAGGCAAAGCCACAAGAAGGGCCGATCTCGGCTGAGTTGATGCGCTTGTGCTTCTGGAGATATATGTAGAAAAGGGAAATATTTCAGAAGATGGTTTCGGAAATAACTCAGGTGCTGCTCAGGTGAAGGCTCAACGGCTGCTGTGGAGGCTAATGATGCTGGACCGGTCGATACACCCCATGAGTTCGATGTGCTGGCGCTAGAGATAGGTGGCGATACATGATTTGTGCTAGGAGAGGGGGAGCTCAAACCTCCACCAGATCCTAATATCGAGACGAGACTATCAAGTTTACCCTCGAGTTGATCCAGACGAGCGATCGGATTATTGCGTTGGGCCTGTCGTGCTCGTGACGACTGTCCGGGTAGACATGTCTTCTTCAGGCGATCACATCGTTCACAAGGACCACCCGGTCTCGAAATGCACTTGCATTTGGATCTTGCGCATTCTGAGCATGCCTAGATTAGATTGGTCTCAGTCAGCATGCGGCGGAAGTACTCGGATGTTCCAAGGGCAATGCAAACTTTGCCATATAGCTGCATGGTAGCAGGTCTCCGATCGGGGCCCATATTCGTTGACAATCGTACTAATTTACCGAGTGCGGAATTAGCCTAAAAACGGCATTTGCTGTCCGAAGCCGAAGCAAAAGAGGGAAAGAGCCAGAGGGTAGTGAGGTTGGAGACAGAGCAGGCGGGGTTCGTTGAGATGAACTCCGGAACTTACTTCGGAGTTCGGCACCCGAACGCCGACTATCCATCTTCCCAGCGTTAATAAAGTCAACGCAATTCTGCTTACGAATTGAATCAGGCCTTAAATGGATTTGGTAGCGAGAATACTTTCAATGCGGACTTGGTCCGAATTGGGAAAGAAGTATTGCGTGCAGAAGAGAGTTGACATTATTTTTCTGGAAAATACAGGTTGAGATGGACAATTGTTTGAAACATAGAATTGTGACATTGCAGGCCAATGGTGTGAAGAACCGCTTATAGGCATGATGACATTGATGTATTTATTGTCTATTGCTTCGAAGAAGCGTCGGACATAGCCTTGGTTACCAAGGTCTAGTATCAATTTCTTAGCTAAAGTTCATCGTGGGAAACGACCGGGCACATGCGTCCACTAGACGAGACCGTCCACTCATCAGATCCAACAGCAGTCAGTCCATAGAAGAGATTGTGCGGGTCATACTTGGCTTTGACTTGACGCAAAGCATCGTAGTTCTCACCGTAAAACGCAGTCTTAAAGTCGAGCTGGCGGAAGTCGGCCTAGGAAAAATAGGTCAGTACAATGTATCTAGCTGAAGAGCAAAAATGGTATGGCAAGAGAAATAGGTCTAACATACCTCGTTGAGATAGGCACCAGAATTGGGAGCCAGTTTCATCAGACTCGGCATAAAGTCGTTCGTCATCTTCTCCTGGGCTGCAATGGTATACTCGTGATCATCCCATTTCCAGCTGGTGCTCAAAACGACGTGTGCAATAGCCTCCCGCCAAGCAGGGAGGACAGCGTTGTGAACGTCCCCACTAACCTGTTTAGACACATTGATGGCCACTGTAGTGAATATACCGCCGTTGCTAATCACACTTCGAATGGATTCGGTCAAGCCAGAGTTATTCTCCTGGACTACCGACCGAGGAACAAGCCAGCCGCCATACTGAGCAATGCCAACCTCAATTGGCGCCTGCTGGGTTCGGAACTGGGCAAGATAAGAATCAAACTCCTCTGAATGGTATGTGTAGTGAATCCCCAGTCTATCAAACTTATCGCGAACTGGCTGGAACAGACTCTCCAATCTCCTAAGAGGGATATCAGGCCCCGTCATGGGAGCGATCGTAAACGAGGTGTTGGTCAAAAAGTTCAGACTCATAACGCCCTCGTCAACTATTGAGGGAAGGTGAGCATTATATAGTTCAACGGCCTGAAAGAACGTATCCGTAGAGATCTCGGTAGCAGAAAAGGTGAGGTTCAATCCAGAGACAACACCATCAGGATGCGCCTTGGAAGTCATCGACCAGACAATACCATAAGTTCCGCCACCTCCACCGGCAAGCGCCCAATAGAGATCGGCATTCTGCTCACGGTTGGCAATGATGAATCTCCCAGTACCGTCGATAACTTCCCACTCAAGAATTTGATCCGCGCCTAGGCCATACCTCGAAGACAAGGCAGAATGACCGCCACCTTGACTGTATCCGCCGGCCAGTCCAACGCTCGGGCATTCACCTCCTACTATGCGGAGTTCTTCTTTATGGGCTGCTTCAAATGCATCAATACCCTGGACACCGGCTGCAAGTTTGGCAGCTTTCCCCGTGTAGTGCGCGTCGCTCCAGTCTTTAACCTCGATATCTTTGAGATTATGCATCCAAACGCCGAGAGCGCCCGCGCCGGTGGATTTTCCTTGATAATCATGCCCGGTATTACGAACGATGAATCGGATGTTGTACTTTCTCGTAAAATCCAATGTCCTAATGATGTGTTCCGGCTTGGAGACGTTGACCGCGTACTGCACAAGATTTCCGATCGGGCAAGGCTCGGAGCTAGGGTAGAAGGGGTCACAGCTGCCGAAATAAGGCGCCATTATCGAACTTGAGGTTTTGTAGCTGAATACATTAGTACTCGATATCCGTGCGGTTGTGTCAGTTACTCACTGCTCATCTGGTAAAAGCCATTCATCTTTGATGGCTTTGCACTTTTTCTCATCAAAGTTGGGAGCATGGCAGGGTGTGCCTAATGGCACGGTTGCCATGAGCCGACCATCGATGGACTGATTAAAAGCATTCCATGTAGATGTTGACGGCCAGCAAGCATCGCCCGGCAGACATCGGCAAGAGGGGCTCTGTGAAGCTATAGCCGGAAGGGTAATGGCGACGAGGCCTAAGAGGAATCCTCGCTTTGTGATTCCTGAAGGCCGCATTGAGAATTGTTGCTGGATGTATCTCAGTTGCACAAAAAGTTTAGAGAAGCTCCTCACAGACTTCAAGCTGCGTTGTAAAATAAGCCTTTATAGGTTCCTCTCGCCCAAATCTCCGAATTCGCAAGCCGTTTTCGCCCGTGCTTGAGGCCAATGTAAACGAGGGGCCGCATTAGCTTGATTTTCAGGATTGGAAGCGGCACTAGCGGCCTTTGGTTGAAGATCATCTTGGCAGCCTTGTCGGACTGTCAGACTGGATGCTCGGGAGACGAATAGCGGGTCGTGTTGTGCGACTTGTCGTGGCTAGTTGCATAAGCGTGTTTCGAAGACAGAATAAACAGTTGAGGCAATACTGCCCGAGACGGAAATTATTTGGTGGTGTGCGGTCAATCCGTTTGGAAAATTCACGAATCCCATGAGGCTATGCATCCGCACATGACATCCTACCACCCTGCCTGCGTTGCAGCACATCATAAGCGGACTCAGGCAAGAGGAGCCCACTCATCAGCAGCACAGAAAGCATCGAGATATGCGAGCGAACCATCCGGCTGGTCCATCCGCACACTATGCACTACGCCTTTGGTATCAAACTTAAATCCATAACGGTAAAAGATTCCAGCCATCCTCGCAGCGCGGATCAAATACAATCAGCGTCAGAGAAATTATGAGCCTCCTCTCGAAAGGTTTGCCAGAAGAGGCTCTCGAGTTCGTGGTAGCGATCGTAGTAGTGCCACCCTTCTGAATCCATCCGGCCCAAAAAGTTCTCAAGCCCGTATAGGGCGAAGCCGAACGGCAGAATCCTTGATTCAGCCCAGTCGACAATCCCTGTGATATTTCCGCTTTTGGGATTGACGGGGAGATTCATCTCGTTAAGGTCACCGTGGCTAAGAACAAAGGGGAGGGCTTTTGAGAAGACAGACGGGAGCTCCTTGCGGACCCTTTCTAGGTTCGGTGCAAAGCGAGATGGCATGTTTCGAGCAAGAAGGCCAAAACTTGTTTGAAACTCCATAAGCAAGGTTGCAGTTGCATCTGAGCCTGGCCGTAGGTCGTTATTCCATGACTGTGCAAAGAACCTGTTCTAAAATATTAGTTCTTACAGATGAACCAAATCTTTTGCTAGGCTTACCTTGCAAAGTCCTTAATAGTGTTACGCTGTCGGGACATATCGTCTGGAGGAATGCGCGCCATTATGTGAGCAGTCCCAGGATGATGCTCCATCTCGTAGATATAGACTGGCCGCGAATTTCCTATGGTACCGAGATACTTGCAACTAGCCACAAATTCGGGATGGATTGCTTTGGCAAGGAAAATGTTGCCCATATCAATGGTAGAGTTCTCATCTCGGAACTGAAGACCTTGGACTTGTTGGGCCCCGCTGTCACGGTATAGCTGCACACTCCTTGCATCTGTAAAGCAGTGGACACACCACCAGCGTGAGAAATAGCGAATTCATCGCATTGCTGTCTTGTGACAGTAGTGTTCGAGTTGAAGAATTCATCAATTGCGCCGTCAGGACTGTAAAGAACATAAGTCGTCATTGTGGTGAAGTAGGACCGCCCGGGAGAGTGCTGAGATATTGTAAAGAGAAGTGAGAACTAAGTGGACTGCTACAGATAACCTAGGTAAGACTCACCGCCATTAAATACTCACAAACCCCCCGTTGCTGTACCACTGGAAGAGGGTTTAAACGCTCCAGCCAGCTGCCTGCGAACAATGGAAACCAAAGTGACCGTCTTGCCCGTTGGTAACGGCAATTTTCCCGCACTCCAGCACCGCTCACACGATTCTCATGCCTCTCGAGATGATATACGGGAAAGCTTGGCAAAGGCAATGAAAGGTGTAATTACTAAACCATCTATGAAACTGATCGAAGCCGTGTGGAGAATAATTGTGATGTTGGGCAAATGCTGCCCAAACACCCTTTACTGATTTTCATCGTTCGAATAAATTAGTTCATCTTGCTAATCATGTACCGCAATCTGTTTCTAGTGGAGATGTACTTCATTCTCTTTTTGTCAAGGCATAGCGCCTCCAGCGATTCATTGACACATTAAGCCTTCTTCGAGTAGGGCCAAGTCCAGTTACGGATGTGCTCGGGGTCAACACCATTGGTGAACGCCTCCTTCTTCCCTTGGAGCTGGAACTTGAGGAATTTCTCACGCGCACTAGACCCGGTATTTCCGAGGGACGGGATCAAGTCAATCGCGTCAATGGCAAGACTGTATCGGTCGGTTCCATTGCGCAGGGCCAGCTCGAAGGGGGTATCGATGTTGCCCTTCTCTCTGTATCCGCGGACGTGCAAGTTTTGCTGTCCAGGACGCTTGTAGGTCAATCGGTGGATCAGCCAGGGGTAGGAGTGGAAGTTGAAAAGGATGGGCTTGTTGTCGGTGAAGATGGCTTTCCATTGTTGGTCAGGCATGCCATGGGGATGATGGATCTCGGAGATCAACCGGAAGAGGTCCACGACATTCACAAAGCGGACCTTGAGAGTGGGGAGGTGCTCGCGCAGGAGAGCTGTGGCCGCCAAGGCTTCGTGGGTAGAGACGTCACCGCAAGATGCAATGACAATATCGGGCTCTTCGCCTTGATCGTTGCTAGCCCAGTCCCAGATCCCGAGTCCTTTAGTGCAGTGTTCGATAGCATCTTCCATGCTCAGGAACTGAATGTGTTCCTGCTTGTCGGCCACGATAACGTTGACATAATTGACGCTGCGCAGGCAGTGGTCCATAACAGAAAGGAGGGTATTACCATCCGGAGGGAGATAGATACGAACGACTTCGGGAGACTTGTTTGCGACAACATCCAAGAAGCCTGGGTCTTGGTGGGTGAAACCGTTGTGATCCTGGCGCCAGACAGTTGCTGTAATCAGAATATTCAGCGAGGCGACCTTGGCTCTCCATTCGACCTCGAGACACTTCTCAATCCACTTGCAATGTTGGTTAACCATGGAGTCGATAACGTGAACGAAAGGCTCGTAGCTGTTGATAAGACCATGGCGTCCGGACAGAATGTAGCCCTCAAGCCATCCTTCGCAAGTATGCTCACTGAGAATCTCCATCACCCGGCCGGAAGGAGAAAGATTGCCACCATCCTTGTCCTCTTCAAAGTAGTCAGCCATCCAGACCTTCTTGCCTGCCTTGTAGACTTCGGCAAGCTTATTGGACTCGGTCTCGTCAGGGCCGAAGAGTCGGAAATTGGTCATATTCTTGCTAATGACGTCGCGGAGGAAATTGGCCATGTTTGCCATGCCTCCCTTGATAGTTTTGCCGGGGACAATGTCCTTGAGAGCATACTTACTGAAGTCGTTCAGGTCCAAGGGCTTGCGCAAGAGACCTCCGTTTCCGACAGGGTTGGCAGACATGCGCAAGGTCCCAGTGGGTGCAAGAGCACGAAGCTCGGGAATCAATTTTCCGTTGGCATCGAATAGCTCCTCGGGCTTGTACCCCTTCATCCAAGACTCTAGAACCTTGAGGTGATCGGGGTTTGTGAGAACGTCGGTGATTGGAATCTGATGAGCCCGCCAGAAACCTTCAAGTAGCTTTCCATCAATCTCCCTAGGAGCGGTCCATCCTTTGGGGGTACGCAGGACGATCATCGGCCAGCGAGGGCGGAAGGGCTTGTTTGAAGAGCGAGCTTGCTGTTGGTACTCTCGGATCTCCTTGACGCATTGCTCCATAGTGACTGCCATGGCCTGATGCATACTCTGCAAGTCGCTTCCCTCAACAAAGTACGGCTTCCAACCGTAGCCAATGAACAAAGAAGTCAATTCTTCATGGCTGATTCGAGCAAGGACGGTTGGGTTGTTGATCTTGTATCCATTCAGATGTAGGACAGGCAGAACGGCCCCGTCGGTGATGGGATTGAGGAATTTGGTACTATGCCAGCTTGTCGCGAGTGGACCTGTTTCGGATTCTCCATCGCCGACCATTGTCAGTGTGATGAGGTCGGGGTTGTCAAACACAGTTCCAAAGGCATGGGAGATGGAATATCCCAGTTCGCCGCCCTCGTGGATACTGCCAGGAGTCTAAACGGTCAATCTTTTGTTAGCGTGGGCCCTGCTAGTGTATATATGAAACCCTTAACATACCTCAGGAGTCGCATGCGAGCCAATACCTCCGGGGAAGCTGAATTGCTTAAAGAACTTCTGCATGCCCTTGGCGTCTTCGGTCTTGTCGGGATAAACCTCCGAATAGACGCCCTCAAGGTATGACTGTGAGAGAATGCCGGGCGCTCCATGGCCGGGGCCTGAGACGAACAGAGCGTTCAAGTCGTATTTCTTGATCAGGCGGTTCATGTGAATCCAGGTGAAAGATTGGCCAGCATCCGAACCCCAGTGACCAAGCAGGCGCTGCTTCAGATGTTCACGCTTGAGCGGCTCTTGAAGCAATGGGTTGTCTCGAAGATACAACATACCGAGACAGAGATACAGACTGGCACGGAAATAGGAGTTCATCTTCTGGACCTCATCAGAGGTCAGGCATTCACCTTGGACGGTCGAGCGAGCCTCTCCATACGCGGAAAGGCTTTTGCCCTCACTTTGCTTGGAGAGCGAAGCCATGATGGATGGTGTGGATGCTGTGTGAGAAAAGTCACTCGGAGGTTTTAGTAGAGGAGGGTTCAGTAAAACGTGTTCAGGAGAAAAATTGGTGTAGTGTTGAGTTTGAGGGTGTTGCAGAAGTAAGAGAGGAAGGAGGGTAATGAAGCGAGGAAGGAGACAGGAAATACCCCGCAAGATGTTTGCGACAACTCTACTCGACTATGGCAGAGCCTCTCCAAAAAGATCTCTCCGGGCTTGCAGCTTTTATGAACGAAAGCAGAGAGACTGGCCATTGTGGAGTGGCCTGATCCCTGTATTGGAGGCGCGTCGGTTGCATTATGGGCGTGGGTGAGAAGTCAATGACGTGTAGTTCGGTAGATAACACCACACCTTGTGCGATGGAGCCATGTGCATGCGCCCATGGCCATGAATCATGACATATTAAGAGTCAGCCAACAGTTAGCAAGATTATTGCCATGTCATGATTCTAATTTGAAAATGCGATCGGGTCAATTTTCCCGTTCCTAGTCAACATCCTTGTTTCGGCTCCGAGACACCTTCCGCCGTCATCCGAGTAGTCTTTGTGGCCAGGATCATACATCAAGGATAGTTAATTATTCTGTACGATACCAATATTGGAAGTTCGAACAACCTAATTGGGAGTTCGTCTCAAATTAACTTGATTGAAAAGTGGCTGCAATGTTGCTATTACCGACTACCGACTTCGAGACTTGGGTTGGATCCTGCGTGTCGCCGCTTTTGTTGAATTGTATGACATGGACGAGCAGGGCCTAAAAGCCGGTTTTATGCACCCCGCTTGTTGTTACTGCCCATTCACAGGGCTATAAGTCATCACGCTCATTAGCTCAGCTCAGTTAGATTATCTTAATCTCTTTTAATAGCCTTTATTCTCTAGCTATATCCTTCCTATCGTGGCCTCCAAGCACCCCGCTCACCGAAAGTACCGACTTCCTAACGAGGATAGTCCATCCCTATTGCGATAGCCTAGAGTATCGAAGAATACAGTCGAGAACTATGATACTATAGGGATTCAGTAAGCCCTAAAAATGCCCTTTGAGAATCTTCAGCTCTCTTATATCGAAGTAGCTCTCTATCAGTCATGAAGATCGTCCAGGTCCCGCCCTGGGCGAAAGGTTGTCCGCGGGAAGCCATCCGAGTGGAGAACCGTCCGTAGCGGCGTTGCCAAACTCAACCAGCACTTTGAACATTCGGCTACGAACTCTCACCTATTATAGATATGCCGCCACCAACGCTGAGCAGCAAGCTCACATCAATCAAAGGGGTACGCTTAGCGGGCTCGCCGTCGACCTGGGACATCGACATCCACTACCCACCAGATTCCCCGCGCGGCATCATCCATTCCATCACCCCGCACGACGATACAACCCTTGGGAATGGCTCTGATTCCGCTCCGCTGGCTCTACCAGCCTTGACACACCCTCATATTCATTTGGACAAGGCGTTTGTTCACAGTGCCCGTCAATACGCCCATCTTCTCCCGTCTACCGGGTCTTTCCAGGAGGCATTGTCGTTCACCACAGAGGCGAAACGACAATTTACCGTGCCCGATGTTCTTCAAAGAGGGGAGTGGCTGCTCGCCGAGTCCACCTCGGCCGGAGTCACGGCGATGAGAGCGTTTGTAGAAGTCGACCACACGGTGAAATTAGTCTGCTTGGAAGCAGCCATAAGACTCCAAGAGGAATGGAAAGACGCTTGTGAGATACAGATTGTCTGCTTTGCACAAGATCCCATATTCTCGACCCAACACGGAGAGGAAAATATGGACCTGATGCGAAAAGCGCTCGAGGATTGCCCGCAGATCGACGTGATCGGAACGACCCCCTACGTGGAATCAACTATCGAAGCCGCCCAACAGAACATCGACTGGGCCATCGACCGTGCTCTACATCTGAATAAACATCTCGATTTCCATCTCGACTATAACCTTGATTCGGGCAAGGAAGCTCTAGTATGGTACGTGTTGCACAGCCTACAACAAAGAGGCTGGACCTCGTCCTCCACCACGAAACGCGTGATGCTCGGGCATTGTACTCGACACACGCTTTTCACCGATGATGAGTGGTGTCGGATCTCCCACATCATTCACGACAACGATCTTCCGGTCAGCTTTGTCGGGTTACCCACTAGCGACCTCTACATGGCCGCCTCGCCCGAACTAAAGGTCCCGCACGACCGGCCCCGAGGTACTCTGCGAGTCCCCGAGATGATCCGCAAGCATGACCTCGACGCTGTGATGGCAGTTAACAATGTAGGCAATGCATTTACGCCTTGGGGTCCGCCCGATCCACTGTTTCTGGCTTGCCTAGGCGTGGGAGTCTATCAAGCGGGGACGCAGGATGATGCGAGATTACTATACGAGTGCGTATCTACTCGAGCCCGAGCGGCGATTGGGCTTTCACCGTTACCTTCGCATATTGATCTACAGGAAGGAGGTTGTTCTGATCTTCTGCTGTTTCATCATCGAGATCTTACCGGGTGTCGTGTGGCTCGTCCCCGTGGTACGGTCGCTGAGGTTGTATGGGATCCTCCTCCAACGGTGAATCGAGACGTGGTGGTCGGTGGTCGACTCAAGCCCTCTGGATTTTCGTGTTCGCAGAGTGAGTCGATCTATCACTTCTTAGAAGAGTAGGTTGACGTTGAGGTTAGTATATAGGGGTGGTGTGTGAAGGGACCAGTTCCCGACAGAGGCCATGCAATGCTGTTCTCTGGCAGTATACAAGAACACGATCTACTCAGAGGATTGATCAAGTGTTAAGACCACCGTTTACTATCTTGAAGTTTGAAGTGTGAATAGATGAACGTTCAGCAAGCCTTGGCCCTATTTATAGTAGCGGTCACGTGTTCCTGACACCGCGGGGAGGAGATCGGTCCTTTTCCGCCGTGGCTGGGCCGCTCCGGAAGATCCACTGACTTTCATGGAGCTCCATGAGGGATTTTATGGGAACCTGATTATGTCGGGAGTGTCCTCAGAAAGTGGATAACAGCAAAGGACTCGGTACGTCCATAGTTTCCTAATCGCGAACTATCGTCCGAAGATTCAGGGTTTCGTATCAATATAGAGATCTTACAGGAGTAAGGAGTCCCCCACTATCCTTTCGGGCGGTGCCTGGAACACGGTGGATACGGAAGACAAAGATTATGTCATGGGCGTTCCTATCGAGCCCACCAAGGACGAGTTAGGTTCGTTAGGTTCAAATAACCTTGCAAGAACCGAGGGAAGGCCCTGGGGAAAGTAGTATTGGAGTCGACGGTGAAACTTCCGACCGAGTCGATTCCGCGTAGTGTATTGACCGCTAGAATATGACCTATAGTCTGTGACCTATACGACTAGTCCATAGCAGACGGTCTATCTCTGAGATCACAAGTAGGGGGGACTGAAGAGACTCGTATGTCACAGGCGAGCAGTGACAAAGTGAATAGGATGGAGTATAGGACGGCTAAAAGACGAGGTAGTCATTACTCGGTCGAGGGGGAAGAAATACACATCAATACCTCCGTTGTCTTTGGCGGCTCGGGCAGTTGCTCGGGCAGAGACCGGGGGAAGAATAGATATTGGCAGGTGCTGGGGGGGCCGGTGCTCGTGAAGTTGTCGACTTGTTAGTTTTGCCCGTGCGGTTGTTAGTGTTGCTCTCGTCCCTCTCCTCCTCCTCCCCCCCCCGCCCCCATCGCCAACTTGCGTCTCGTCTTTCGTCTTCTCCATCCTTTTCTATCCCATCGCCCTTTCCCATTTCTCCCTGTCTATCTCCTTTGAATCCGTTGCATCTTTTTGCCTCACATTTGTATTACCCATCTTCCCTTCATTTCCAGAGAGAGCGCCCGTGGGGCCCGACTCCTCGCGGTCCCAGTGGCCCTCCCTACCGTGTCGTCAGCAGCGCTCCTCTCCCCGCTCGCTCATCACCTCCATCCCCCATCTTAACGGTTTCCAAACTAGCAACGGAGGCTGTCACAATGTCTTCGGCTCCAAGGCGCACTGCGTCAACCTCTTCAAGACCCTCGCGACCGGCCGCTCAATCGGAACTCCCGCATCGCACGAGAAGCGTGGCCGTCCGATCGTCCAACTCTTCCCAGCCCCCTCCACAAACTCATTATGCGCATTCAAAAGCTCCTTCGCAGGATCATCGTCCGCCGGCCAATTATGCGGCTCTGGATAGCATAGCCCGCCAGGACGTCGATGCCAAGTCTCGCCGCGACCGTGATGTCTCCGCTGAGCGTCCGGCCACTGCACGGACCGAATCTACCCGGAGACACCACCAAAGAACCTCATCTACGCAGCCGCGTGAGACCGAGCTGGCCTCAGGGGAGACTGCGCAAGCGCCTGCGCCTGGGACCCATGGACAATCCAATGCGCCCGCCCAGCCCAAGCGGCGAACCACAATTACCACTCCCACCGGGAATTGGGCGTTGGGGAAGACAATTGGCGCTGGTAGTATGGGTAAAGTGAAGCTGGCGAAGAATATCGAAACTGGAGAACAGGTAATTATCTCCCATTCTTGCCTATTTTATCGCTTCTTGTGCTCCACACTTCGGGATATTCCTCACGTTATGGTTCACGCCATTCAGTACCGTCCGGCTTGCTAATTGATTCATCTCTATATCACAGGTTGCTGTCAAGATCGTTCCTCGTCTATCAACCGAAGAGCATAAATCATCACGCGAAACCGAGAGGGCAGACCGCTCGAAGGAGATTCGGACTGCAAGAGAAGCTGCCATTGTGTCTCTCGTGAACCACCCATATATCTGTGGCATGAGAGATGTGGTCCGGACCACGTATCACTGGTACATGCTTTTCGAATATGTGAACGGGGGTCAAATGCTAGACTACATCATCTCTCACGGAAAATTGAAGGAGAAACAGGCGCGCAAATTTGCCCGACAAATCGCTAGTGCGCTGGATTATTGCCATCGCAACAGCATCGTCCATCGCGATTTGAAGATTGAGAACATTTTGATCAGCAAGACCGGCGATATCAAAATCATCGATTTCGGTCTGAGCAACCTCTTTTCACCTCGAAGCCTGCTCAAAACTTTCTGTGGAAGTCTTTACTTTGCGGCCCCCGAGCTGCTTCAAGCGAGACAATACACGGGCCCGGAAGTGGATGTATGGAGTTTCGGTATTGTCTTGTATGTGTTGGTTTGCGGAAAGGTACCTTTCGATGATCAGAGTATGCCTCAGCTCCATGCAAAAATCAAGAAGGGTGTCGTGGAATATCCCCCCGGTCTCACCACTGGTACGTATACGTCTCTTTTCTTCTGCTATCCGTTGGGACGCATTTGACTAATTGGCATGTCTGCAACAACAGAATGCCGTCACATTATCTCCCGCATGCTTGTCACAGACCCGAAGCAGCGTGCCAGCTTGGCCGAAATTATGGCCCATCCATGGATGAACAAGGGCTTCAGCGCTCCACCGGAGAACTACCTTCCTGTTCGCGAACCTCTGCAGCTTCCATTGGATCAGGAGGTGATTGAGAAAATGACCGGCTTTGATTTCGGTCCTCCAGACTACATCACTGCCCAGTTGACCAAGACTCTGGAGTCCGAGGATTATCAACATGCGTTGCGCCTCAACTTCCGTGAACAACCCCCGCCCAACCAGGCAGAGAAGAAGCGGGGTGTGTTCGACTTCTACAAGCGGCGCAACTCTGCCGCAAGCCGAGACACCTTGTCCGCACCTTCTGCCGAGGCTATCCAGTTAGGCAATGACCCATTGAACGCTTACAGTCCCTTGATATCTGTCTACCATCTTGTGAAGGAGAAGCTTGATCGGGAACGAGCCGAAGCCCGGCCTGGGGCTCTTGGCCTCCGTCAGACCCCTGGTGATGTACAAGTTCTTGGGCTTACACCTCCGGAAGCTGCTCACACCAACCAGTACCAGTTACCGGGCGAAAGGGATACCGGCCGTCGTTCTCGTCCTCGTGCCAGGACCCATGGCGAGGACGAAGTTACGGAGACACTGAAGAGCCACCACGCGGCGTCCCCATCTGCACATGCGTTCCCCAACGCAACACAGCTCGATACCCCCAAGAAGGAAAGCACCGCCGTTGGTATTCTACGGCGCTTCAGTACTCGCCGAACCAAGGACCGCAGTCGTGATGTCGAACGGGAGCGCATCAGCACTCCAAACACCCCTACTCTCAATGTCCAGCCCCCTGCCGATTCAGCTTCGCCGATGCATCGTGGCTTCAGTGTGCGACGCACACGACGGGCCGAGCCGTCTCCCGGCCCTGTCCCCCATAGTGGTAGTCAACCGCAGCAAGATCTGCTGACTGCCCCGAGTTCTGGTGAGCAGTCTTCGCAGTCGAACAAGTTCCTTGGCCGATCGACCAGTGTCAACTCCGCCGATTACCGAACTCGAAGGGCCGCTCGGAGGAATGATGCCGATTCCTTGGACGTTGACCGTCAGCCTCCGTCAACGAGTGGCTCGGATCAGTTTGGACCCGAGAATCAGAGAGAACAGCTTGGTGTCAAGAGTGGTGGACGCACGCATACAGCACGCACTATGTCGCTTGGCCATGCCCGTCGTGAAAGCATCCAGGCACGTCGCGCTCGTCGTGAAGCTACTCTAGAGGCCAACGTGCCAGAGGAGACTGACGCAGATATCTCGGGCGCAGGGACTGCTTTGGAAAGTGCCAACGAAGGAGAGGACCTGTCCAAGCCCGTTTATCTCAAGGGTCTCTTCAGTGTCTCGACTACCAGTAGCAAGCCCTTGTCGGTCATTCGCGCTGATATCATTCGAGTGCTGAAGCAGCTTGCTGTGGACTATGTCGAGATCAAGGGCGGGTTCAGCTGCCGACATGCTCCAAGCATCGACCTTGAGAAGGTGATAGATGTCAGCCCACCCAGCCCGGACCGCCAGGGCCAGGTATCCCACCGTCGCCGAATCAGCTTTGGTGGACTCCTTGGGCATGATGACAGCCGAGATGACAGTCGCCCATCACACTCCAAGCTGCAACGCCGAACCCAAGGCCAACCAGACCGCAGCTTCACCACAAACTCGGATCCCTCAGATGAGTACGTTGCCCGTGAACCGTCTACCAGTGTTGCTGTTGGTGATCGCGTGGTTGGTGAAACTACGACTCGTGTCCAGAGTGACACTGGGGAGAACTTGATTTTGCGATTTGAAATTCTCATTGTCAAGGTCCCTCTGTTCTCACTTCACGGCATCCAGTTCAAGAAGGTCTCCGGCGGTATGTGGCAGTATCGCGAGATGGCGAAGAAGATCCTCGATGCCCTGCGCCTGTGATTTGGGAGTTTCCACCCATGCGGGCCATAAGCGTCATACCTCGTGAATTCTTAAGATGAACATATGAGTATCCTTGTTTGGAAACGACCCCTTTATGTCTTCTTTCTTTCCTAATCTTCACCCCGTGATTTTGCATCATCTTCCCCGGTACATTGACCAACGTCGTATCCACACGAGCGATCCTAATCATTCTCCATGTTTATCCCTCGCATGCATTATTCATATGACTTTCCCCTGTTTTTCTCATCTATTAGCCCCATTGTTCCGCTCTGCATCTTCCTCTTGTCACCCTCGTCTCAGCTGTTTAGCATGTATTGTTGGACTAGATAGACCTCCCTCTTCTGCTCGGTCTTATGATGTACCCTAAGAGTCTAGCGAAGACGCCTTGTGGATGCCAGTACTTTGTTCTTTCTTCTTTCTTTTTTCTTTTTACCTTCTTATATTATATTGAGTTAGGTTCTTGGCTGAGGGACTGAGGATTTCAATTCAGTCTTTGATCTGGGGCAGGATAAGGGAATGGAGTTGTATGGTATGTGGATATTTGATTAGGTGTTTCTCTATTATGGCTGCGGAAAATACGAGATCCGTTTCCGGGCGATGAAGTACCATTCTGCCGGTCAAAAGTTTCATTGTTGATGTCGACTGTCATGCTTAGGTTTGAAGAGGAGAAGCTGATTAGTATCGAAATAAAGCTACGATGAGAAAGAATTAATCTCGGAATGCCCGCTTTACAGTCTTTGGACCTTTTAGGTACGAAATACGTCAATGACGGTCGGTCCCTAGTGCTGCGGGCACCACCTCCATGGAAATGGATTACACTTCCTTCCTTCCTGAAGCCCTTCTTCCATCCTACTTGGTATTTTGTCTATGACCTAGAAGCCACTATCTTGCCTTTCCCGCTTCTAGTATCTGTGTATTGGTATAGACCCTAATTCCGAGCAATGTATAAGGTTGTTAGCGCTGAGAGCGGAAACTTAGGCGGTGAACCCAAGCTCCCTATACTCTTTTGCGTCCCGTTTCCCGCAGAAACCTTCGAGGGTCCCTTATAACGAAATGGCTGTATGATCAGATAGAAGGTCTGCGACCGGGACAATATTCGAAAAGATTGAACTGATATATGATATGATGTCTAATAGGGGCTCTTAGATGATTTGCGATCGAAAAATCCCACGTTAGAGGCTATCTTGCGTTGGTTATAGGTCCTAAATACTGCTTACCTATTCTACAGTGAGGCGGCGGTGGTGCCAGAGCGCGACCAGTGCCCCCGGGGCGGGCTTCTTAGTCGGGTACCCGCGCCTGACCGCCAAACTGGCCAGTTGGCTAAACATAGGTAAACCGTCTAGTAAGAATCAAGTGAGCATGAACAAGAAGAGGTGGCTGTAGGGAAAAATTGGTCAGGCGGGAGAAGAGCATTGAGGAGCAGTGCATTATATAAATTTTACTCATTAAACTGGCTGGGTGTTGATGTTATGCGAAGTTGAAGAACCTATATACCCAAAGAGGCCCGGGGCGGCCGCTGCTGCCCGAGGTTGGGTGGAGTGGCACGCTTCTTCCACCTTGGAGATATATATCGCTCGGCTTCACTCAGACTGTCCCCCAACTTTACCAACAGAGAAGGCCTTATTCCATTTCATCATGAAACAATGCCTCTTGAATCATATACATCGATTATTTTGGGACCTACATGATAGGATTGATTAGTCAGTAAATCAGTAGGATAACGAGTCATGTAGTGATTTGATTGGGTGTGGCGTAGGAGCTGAAAGGACGGTGAGAAGATCTCCAGGGCATGACGCCAAGACCTCTTTCAAAGAGAACCTCTCAACTTTTCTGAACGATAAGACGCCACCACCGAGTCAGATTTGTCGCAAAAGAATGAAATCTGAATTGAAATCTCAAAAGTGATCTAATGCGCGGGGTAATCTTTTATAATTTCGCTTTCCTTGTGGGGAGGGGTGGTAAAGTGCGCTCACAAAGGTACATAATTCAGTTTCGGCCTAGTGCAGTTGCGCCTCGTGCGGTGAGGGAAATGAAGCAAACGCGTAACATAAGTCCTCCAGTTTCTCGGGGTTCTTGGGCCAATCACTGGCTTCTATCCAGAAGTCCTCTAACCTCCACACTGAAGACCACTTTTAATACTTCATCAACACCCCATAAAATTGGTTTCAAAATACTACTGAGAACACGATAATATCCGTTTCATATGTTTTAGACCTGTTTTCCTACATTTTATCCTCTCTAGAAGGTAGGATATCATGATATTTTAGAGTTTGATACATGACTAAGCTAGTTTTGCTTACATAATTAATTCCTCGCTCCTGAGGACTTGTCTTGCTTTCACTTTGTAGCGGTATCTGCCAACGCTATCCTACAATCTTTCTTCCTCGTTCAGGTTTTGATTCTCTATCCTCCCCTTTCCTCCTCTTCCTGATTGAATCCGTATCTTTTCACATCTCCTCAACGAGAAAACTCGAGGTTATCCCCCAAACGCGTCCTCTAAGCGCCTTTTCCTCACCGCAGCCTTCTCTCTTCTCGTCCTCTCCTAAGGGAGGTCCCACACATCTCGACTCCTAAACTCCTAACACCCGGACCTTTATTTCTCTTTTCCACCCTTTCCCCTACTCCCTCATCACTCTAAGCGGGATATTCATTTTTCTGACCCGTCGCGGTCTGTTCCACCCATCTATGCGCGTCTACACGCGTGCTAGGAGGATCGCCCCGTCGTGGGTCCTACTCTAACGATCCTGGCGCCCCTCCGAGAGTAATGCCAGGGCTCGCTGGCCCCTTGGGGGCCCCGAATTCCGGGTATCCTCCCACTCGGGAGGTTATCGACCTAACGCTTGATGATATGGATGTGGACGAAATCCAAAACCACCGGGTAAGTCTGCAACTGTTTTTTTCTTCCGGTTTTCTTTTTGTTTTCGCAACTGCACTCGGCTCGACGCGGTCGCGCTCGCTTGTCTGAGGAAGTGGCGCCCTCCTAGTCTCTTCCTTCCCCGGATTTGCTACTTACTTTGTTTCACGTTCTGGCTATGAGCCTTTGGTCGCCTCGTGTGTTTATTATCCTTCGGTGTTTTTTTCTGTGAAATTGCTTTTCACTGTGAACCCCCTTTCTTTACGCTTTGATTTACTTTTGTTTATCGGCTCTCTTGTTCGACTGCTCGTGCATGCTGGGCCGTGTAACGTGGGCCACCTAGCGCTACATTATCAGACAGATGTCGCTCTAATTCATGTTCGCCATGGAGCTTATCGCTAATTTCCGGCTTTGTTCACAGCCTCCTGAACATCCAACACAATTGAACGGGGTGTCGGCAGGCCTGAAGAAGGAACCTAATGGCGATCAGGTTACTTTCGTGTCGACCCTCGCCCATCGGGCGCAATCATTAAGTCCGCAAAAGCAGAAGCAAAAATCTCTGGACAATGCGGGCTTTCTTGTTTCAAAGAATACAGAAACATCATCCTCGGCCTATCATCACAGTCCCTACGATGATAGCGGGGATAATGAGCTTTCTTATCGTGTCGCGTCTACGGTTATCCCCCAGAAGCGTAAAAGCCAGAGCGCCGAGGGGACGGACGTGAATGATTCTTCGGATGAATTATCCTTGCCATTTGTCTCTCAAAATACTGTCCTTGAGAATGAAGTGGGCTCTTCATCCACTGGCCCCAGTCTTAAGGCGCTTGGGAAGAGGGCCGCGATTGCCCCGAAGACCCCAAGCCCGGCACCTCATTTACCCCCTCAGGACTCCGTGAGCGTTGTGATTCCTTCTCCCTCAGCGGCTCAGAGGAAGCAGATGAAACCGTCGCTCAAGCCTGAATTCATCGGCATCTGTGAACGGTACTTTCCAACTGGCCGAGAAGAGCAGATCAAGGCCCAGCGACGTGCATACCCGATTGCTAAACCTGCCACTGTTGACAAGAAGGTGATCCCGTTCACGATTGCAAAGCCAACGCCAACGAAGCCGGAGCCTAAAAAGCCCGGTGCTTCCCTCTCCCTGGCGAGAAGCGTGTTCCCCTCTCATGCTTCCGCCTCAAACCGAGTTACAGAGCCTGTCACCAGCGCTTCAACTGCAAAGTTTCTTCGCAAGAAGCTCCGGAAGAAACTGAAGCGAATTTGTGGCGGTCCGGAAACCTTGTTTGAAATTGATGATGAGAAACTAGCTGCCCTGTCTGCCAATTTCTTCTTTGTTGGCGACTATCGACTCGGGCCCGGCGTCACGCCAGTCGACGACGATTTTCTCACCGGCTGTGACTGTGGCACCGTTTGTGATCCTAATACCTGCGGCTGCCTGATTGAGGAGGTCGATAGTGATGAACTGATCGTGGCCTATGAACGACTAGATTCCGGAAAAGTCGTCTTGCGAAAGGACTTTCTGGACCGAAAAGCAATGATCTCCGAGTGCAGCTCCCGATGCCTTTGTGCCGGGAGCAACTGCTGGAACCACGTCGTCCAGCGCGGTCGTCAGGTCCGCCTGGAAGTGTTCGATACTGGCGAGCGTGGACTCGGTCTGCGGTGTCTGGAGCCTCTTATCACCGGCCAATTCGTCGATTGCTATTTCGGTGAAGTGATCACTAAGAAAGACGCCGATGCTCGCGAATCCGCCAACGAAGGCAAGCCGTCTTATCTCTTTAACTTGGACTGGCTCCTCGGTAATGGACATCATACCTACGAGGAGAGCTATGTCGTTGACGGGCAGAAATTCGGCTCCGCCACGAGGTTCATCAACCATTCTTGCAATCCCAATTGCAAGATCATCCCCGTTTCGACCAATCGCCTCTCTGACCAGCGGCTCTACTATCTTGCCTTTTTTGCCATTCGCGACATTCCCGCCAATACAGAGCTTACGTTTGATTACCACCCGAAATGGGATCAAGAGAAGCAGATTGACCCTAACGCTGTCAAATGTCTCTGCGGCGAACCGAATTGCCGAGGCCAGCTGTGGCCTAATATTCGCAAAAAGGGCAACAAAGAGGAATAGTCTTTAGTCCTCCTGACAGGATGATCCTTTTGTCGCCCGACCCTACCTGCGACTCCACGAAGCCGAGCCTTTGGGCTGTTACCTCCTCTCCATCCTCCATTTCACCACCCTCCTTCCTCATAAAACATACATTTCAGCACAGCGATGGTCCTTCTTCTCCTTGCCATTTGGCGTGTTTGTGTTTAGAGCATCTGCATACATAGGCGAGAGGCGCAATGATTGTAGCATCACCTTTACATCTGAGCTTTTACATACCCTGACGATAATAACGACGGAGCATCAATGCATAATCTCTTTTCTTTTACATCGAAATACTCATGGATAGTCAGAATTTTGCGCTATATTAATTTGCCATCTATAAATAAACCTCCTTGCCTCACGGGGCCACTCTGACCGATATAGATAGGGCTTAGAGGTACGCCCGGGAAAGCCTAGGAATAGAGAAAACATTCTTAGATAAGAAATGAAATTGTAAACACTCTTTTACACAAGGTAAGAGATAAAGCTCTGCTTTGATTTACTCAGTATGAGTATTTCCTCGAGAAAGACAAGTCCTCGAACAAGTCTGATGTCATGCTCACGATCAATCTCGAGTAGATTTGTACACCAAACAATCTGCTATCCGATACGACACAACACGCCTAGACGGCTATGCCAGAACCCAAGAAAAACAAATACCCTGTACAGTTCCACTCAATTTAGGAACAACCCAAAAAAAAAAAAAAAAAAAAAAAACCCAAAGCAAACTCCCAAAACACCTCTGCCCACATGCTTTCGAATGATAGTCGCCAAAAAAAGGGGGGGAAAAAACAAGAGCCCAAGAACAAAGAGAAGCAAAGGTACAAGGCGTAGCTAGGCCCTAAGCCCGACCTTCCATAACCTCAAAAATGCCACCCATCACAAATCTCGGCTGCTGAACGAGCACAGACCGGCTATCCGAGCCAATGCTAGCCCGAGAAACCGAATTGCGACGTGCCATGCCCATACTCTGACCCATGTTCGTATTGAGGTTCATGTTGAGGTTCATGTCCACGGGCCGAGGCTCCATAAGGTCCAGACCCTGTCTCTCAATGGCGTTCTCGTCACAGCGACATCGCTCCTCGCTCAGGGCCATGTCCACGGCTGAGGGGCGTCGTCGCACGATCATCAATGAGGAGCGGCCTCGAAGGACCGCGCAGGGCAGAATGCTTACGCCGCATTGGGCTGAGGCATTGTGGTTGTGGATATTGTTGTGGAATTGGTGGTCCTGGTCCTGGAGCGGTCGAGACCCAGTGCCGCATTCACCCTTGGGGTGGGTGGTGGCGGTGGTGGTGGGTTGGAAGGAGAGATTGAATAGGTGGTGCGGAGACACTTGCGTTGGCTGGTGACGTCGGCGGAGTGTGGAGGTGGGCGAGGAGGGCGGCGAGGTGGTGCGTGAACTGGGCGGACTGGAGGTATCGCTAGCTGGGTGTCGTTGAGAGCGGGTGTTGAGAGGAGGGAATGGAGAAGGGAATTGATGCATTTTCGCTTTCTTCTTCTTCTTCTTCTCTTGACCGTGCTTGGTTTATTTTTTGGGGGTTGTTCTGGTTGGTTGTTTTGTGGAATGCGGGTATAGTTCTTTAGCCTGGATCAATAGAAGAGAAATTGTCTTCCATAGATGGACTGGACCGGACTGGACTTGGGGAGGGGAATTGGTGGAGGGGAAGAGAAGAAATAAGTGAGAATTTTGAAGGAGTCAGGGAGAGAAATCCAGGGTAATTATGAGGCAAAGGTGTAATTGTGTAAAAGGACGAGAGAAACTGCAAGGAGAGTTTGAGACACGAACGGATTCATCGAATGCGGTTGATTTTCCCCCGTTTTGGTTTTTGGGGGGCGCCGCATGCGGGAATTGCGTGGCGCACCACAAACCTCATTGTTTCCCGCCCGCAAACAGTAAAGGAATTGACGAAGGAGATGGATAAGAGCTTGGAAGGTCGAAATTCGGCAACTATGCCATTGACTGCGTTTGTTAGGTGGTGTAGTCCTATTACCTATACCGCCAAAAGGCTGTACATCTGCGGAGTACGTATACTAGTAGTAGTAATACACAAGTACACAAGTACCCCATACTTCGTTGAAAAGTACGATCGATTACCCGGATTGTCCAGCCAACCAATAGTAACTTACAATAATAGCTAATAAAGTACTTCGTGAACGAGCTAGACCCCTACTGATTCAGCCTCTAGCGAAAAGAAAACGTTCCTACCTAGCATGGCCCATGATAGCAGAATTAGTACATGTACATGCCACATTCTATTGAACCTATTATATGCCCGAGTGTGATATCAACTTCTATCTGAGTAAGGGGACAAAGAAAAACACGAAAGGGCGGGAACAAATGAATTCATCAAAAACTGGCAAGAAGCCCACGCCGTTGCTATGCAGAAAAAATACTCCCATGGATGCCAGGATCAGAGAGGGTAATGTACAGCGAAATGGAATTCATCCGACAGTCAAAAAAAAAAAAAAAAAAAAAAAAAACACAAGGAGAATCAAGTTAAGAGAAAAGGGAAACAATGAATCTCCTCGAGATCAAGTCGAGGATGCAAAGAATGTCCAGGGACGAAAAGAGAATAGAGAGTGAAGTGAAGAAGAGAAGAGAAAGAAGAAAAGAAATGCGTGACAGGGCCAAGTCAATTCTCGGCTCTTCAGTCATAGGTCTATACCTCCATACGTTTCGTAGCTCGTAGAGAGGCATAAGTCAACACGAGTACCTTTTCAACAAAGGTGAGGGCCTCGAAAGTGAATCTAGTGGTCGCTTGTTCGATCACCCGATCGTCGCTGCGTGAAACTGCGCCGAATACTCTCGCCCCACGCGGAGTTGTCCAGCGAGTGCATAACGTCCTGCACACTAATCGCGCTATTCTGGCGAGAGTGATCGGCTCCTCTGACTGACTCGTCGTGTTCACCAGACTCAAAGGAAACGCGCTCGCCGTACAACCGACGCGGGGTCCTTGACGGGCTGATACTCGACCACTCCGTAGGGGTACTAGCACCAGAGGCGCGGCCACTGAAACTGGTATCCAAACGAGGAAGGTCGTTGCGGTGTCCAGTCGGACTGGACTCGGCCCGCCGGTGAGAAGTGGACGTCGGCGAGAGCATAGGTGCGAATGGAGAATCGATATCTGGTTGGGTTTGCGGTGTCATCGCGCCAGGTGCGTGCTCTTCGGGTTCCTCCTCGACGGGGTCGTCGACGTAGATCTCTGGCACGGTGAACTGCGGGACGGCGGTCATGCGACTGGATTTCTTGCGGTCGCAAGCTCGCCGGAATTCGCGAGACCAGTAGAGTGTATCAAAGAAGCCAATGACCGTGTTACGACGCACAGCTTCCTCAACACGCTGCAGTCGGGATCGACGACGGAGGAATTCTTCAAGTCGCAGACTCTTGCTGTCGCTGATGACATTGTAATGCGCGAGAATCATCAAACACTGATGGAATGATATACCTCGTTCTGGATCCGCCGAAACGAGAATCTCCTCATAAAAGGTGTTTAGGCGTTGACGTCGTTCACGAATGGTACTAACCGGGATGCGGTCAATGATACGAGAGAGTTTCTTGAGATCGACACCCGTCGCAAGATTACTCTCGCCATTTGGTCGCAGTGACTGGACTGATTCTCGAGAGCGAAGAGGCAACGCGTTGTGCATTGAGTTCAAGGAAAGCACCGAGTCCCGGGGGGTCTCTCGACATTGGTCTAGAATAGCTCCAACAGTGAACTCATTGTCGTAGATTCGCATGGCGAAGACACCAGAAAGCTCCTAAACTCCAAGTTAGACTTACGCAAACTGTGACAAAAAAAAACAAGTCGAAGACTTACCCCAAGTAGCCGGGGGAACTGCTCTTTGGAAATATAGCCAGATCCGTTCGGGTCGTAGGTCGCCCAGGCCTGTTTAAAGCGGCGAATCTCTTCACGACTGACCGCATACAGTCCACTGCTGCGTTGATAGACATACGAGAAACTCTCGAAGATGAGCGAAACGAACAGCGAAACGAAAATGTACATGCTGATAATGTTCCACATGATGAACAGGGTCCGAGCCCAGGCGGCACCGCCGCAGTCATCATCGAGGAAGTTGGAATCGTATGTGCAAAGGGGAGGCACCATTGTCGCGAAATCTTCCATGATCTCATTCCAACCTTCACCGCAACTAGCACGGAATAGCAGGATCAGAGATTTAGGTACGTCTCGGAAGTTGATGTTATGGTTCTCCTGGGAGCCAAACTTGGTGAGGCCGAAAGCCTGGTTCATGGCAATGCCGAATACCAGGAACAACACGAACCAGGTAGCCAAAAGGTTGCCAATCACCGGCAGACTAGCTGCGGCAGTCTTGAAAAGCTGGTCAAGCTGGTTGTTCCGAGGAATAAGCAACAGCGCGATTGAGACGAGGAACAATTTGTTCAACTCAAGTACGACCTGGGTTGGATACGAGAGTTCGAGAATGATCGTAATGAATGCACCGGGCACGGCAAGAAGCGAGTAAAGATCCCAAGAACTTCGGCTGAATCGATGCCATCCGAGGCCGATCAACCGGACGAGAACGTTGGCAATATAGACGAACATGAAGACGAAGAAGCAGATGGTACGAGTCGTCACCCACCATTTAGGCTCGGGGTAATACTCGAGTACCAGAAGAAGCAGGTGCACAACGAGAACGCAGGTCACGAACCGCGCCCATCGCCCATGTTTCTTAACGGCGATTCGATAGCACCATAAGCGCCATTTGTTGCTTCTCTCATTGAACGACCGCTTGGACGGCGAGATTTGACGAAGCAGCTTCCGCAGTTCCAGCCAAGACCGTTGTTCAGCGGTCAAGAATGCAACGCCAGTCTGTTCTGTGTAATTGCGCATGAACACGGACACGAACAGGGTCAAGACGAAAACTGCTCCAAGCAAATTGAAGACGACGAAGAACAAACCATTCTCCGGTGCACTCCCGTCTTGCGGTTGTAGACCTTTTCCAGTAATCTGCATCGCACTATCCTGAACGTCGACCCAGCCTTCCTGAGAAACAATTTGGAAGAGAATGAACAAGGCATCACCAAAGTCATCAAAGTCGTAGTATGGATTAGCTGCGACTCTCGGAGCCAGAACGTCCCAATTGTAGGGAGAGCTGGCATACTCGCCCACACAGGCCGTTAAATTTCCCGCAAAGTTGCCGTCGTTGCACGAGATCATCTGTCCGTTAAACAAGTTGACACCGTAGATGGCAAAGGGAATGAGGAAACTCATCGAGACAGCCGCCGCGGCAACGACCTTCCATCCTCCAACAATGATGACCGAATGGAAGGTGTCCTTGGCACTGTCGGAGACGTTCAGCAAGCGCAGAGCCCTGAGCGCTTTGAAAGCACCGATTGCCCGCGAAACATTCCAGTCTTTTTTCAGTGAACTACCAACATTAATCCATAGGGTCAACAACACGACACCATCGATGAAACCCCAGGAACTGCGGAAGAACGCATTGGGTGTCCAGAAAAAGCCATCGGCGATGACTTTGATCAGAGCCTCGACAGTGAATATAACAGCGAAGCCTAGATCAGTGTATACGAACCAATTGCGGGTGGTGCGAAAGTATTGTCGTTGGTATAGGGGTGTAGTGATACAAGCCAGGAGCACCATAGCCACAATTGCCGCATAGATGAAAGCCGAGAACGCATACCACACCGGCTTGTACGGATCCACACCTTCAACTCGCTGGTTGCCCCGCCCAGGACCGACAATTTTTTGGCAGAGTTTGCGAATGGCGTTGTGTGGCGAGAAAAGGAACAACGATTTGTTGTAATTGGGATGCTTGACGAGGTATTCCCGCTGAGCACGCTTTCTGGCTTCGGCCGCAGATGCGACTTCCTTTGCCATGGTTCGCGGGTCCAATTCTTCGTAGGCCCGTGAGAATTGTAATTTGGAGTAGAACGGGTTCGGTTCCCGACCCAAGATCAGAGAGGAGGTCTTTGTCCATAGTCGAGACAGTGCGCCGGGCTCGACGGTTTCCTGATTTGCACTATCCGGAATCATGGTGTTTTCTCGACGTCGGTTCGCGTTTTCGACCTCTGCACTCTCTGCCTCTTCGTCTAGGAAGTCACGGACGACAGCATCCTTGAGAAGCATCTCCATTGCGGCAGGACCGTGGTCCAAGGGGTCTTTGTAGCGATCCGAGTCTCTGCCTAAACGGAGAATTTTAGAGAGGGCAAGATTGCCTCGCGCATTTCCACCGAGATGCTTCTGTTCCAAAAATGCCCGGACTTGCTGCATTCGCTTCTCATCTTCTGACACGTCAAAGCTCTCTTGAATGACAGCAATGAACATGTTCAAAATAATAAAGTTGGCCACAATAAACCACAAGATAATGAATGCAGCAGAGATCCAAGCGGTATTGTAAGACACAGTGTAAGTAGTAGCATTGTACAAAATGTCTGTCCAATTCTCACTCGAGAGAATTTGGTACATTCCCAAAAACGAATTGTAGATGTCGGCAAAAGTGATGCTGATTGCACTGCCACTGGAGTCCTCTGGAGGGATCTGGCTCCGGAACAGTTGGGTTGCAAAGATAGACGCAAGGAATGTCATCAAGAATAGGAAGAAGATGAGGTTAAGCAAACCAACAACATTTCGGAAAACGACCATAATCAGCCTCCTGGTGACGGAGAATGCCAGGACGAACCTGTACACTCGAAGAATCTGAAAGAGAGTGAGAACGGTGTAGGCGCGTCCTGAATTACGAATCGGAGGAATTTGGATGACGCAGGTGACTACCACGAGGAAAAGGTCAAACCAATTGCGGCGTTTGCGATGGAAGACACGCCAGTCTGATGCAAATCGCACGATAATCTCAACAAGGAAGACAAGGGTGATGACAGTCTCGGTATCGTCAATGAATTGAGCTCGTTCGCCGGACATAGAGGCGCTTCTCAAAGCTTGGACAACCAAGTCAAAGAAGATGAGGCACACCCACAGCCACTCGGTCTTGTCATAAATGCGTTTGAGAGAGTTGACCCTCCGATTTAAATTTACATCGCTGTCAACTGCATCAAGCTGTTGGACGGCGAATGCACTGCGCTTGCTTTCCTCACGAATCACCTGGAAAGAATGGGTGATGACCGCGACGAGCAAGTTGACCAGCCACAAACTCAAGATAACCAAACCGAAAGCAAAGTATAGTGCCGCCGCGAGGTAATCACTATCGGTGGTATTATAAAGCAGGTCGGTGAAGGTGTTGGAACTCATGAGAACAAAAACCAACTCGAGGGATTGCACGATATTGTCAAAGCTCTGGGTTCCATTGTACGGATTTTCCCCTTCCATACACAGAGAGCCCTGCGGGCAAAGATATCCCTTTGACTTGGAGGTGGTGGAAGGATTGCCAAAACGATCAAGCCAGGGCATTTCCGCTCCAGTAACATTGTCAAGATATCCACCACAGAATTGATCGCCCGATGAATAGTTACTCTGGCCTTCAGGATCGATCCAGACACAAGTTCGTCTGAAACTGGACTTGAAGCTCTGGATTCCGACGATGGCGAAAAGAAGCCAGAAGAAACCAATAAGGAATGCCACATGGACCAGCAAAGGGGCAGCCCGTTTCAAACTTCGAAGAATTACCTATAAAGTATATCAGTCAGAGAACCATTCATGAATTCCCAAGAACGCATGAGAAATAGAGAGGAAGAGTCGCTGCTTCACTAGATAGGGTGCCATACAGATGTACCGTTCGTGAGGGCGAGAAGACGCAAAATTCGAAGACAACTGAGCATTCGGAAAATGTACAGCTGATGCGTTGACTCCGCGCCCATTAACGAGAGAAAGAAGGAAACCCAAAAAGCCACGACGGCAACGAAGTCTAATCGGTTGAACGAGTGTCGAAGGAAAGCTCGATGTGCAAGTCTAACACGGCGCTTATGAAGAGGATCGTCGTAGTTACCAGCGTTGGGGTCTAGAGCATTCATTCCGGTGAATGACCGAAGAATAGACCCCTGCGGTTCCTGCGGAAGGAACGAGACTTTTTTGACTGTCCCTTGTCGATGAGGCGTGATCAGGTTCCTGCCCTTCTCCGCAATCGCTTTGCGAATGCCCAAAGACCGATTGAGAGTACTGTACTCTGCGGGGTTGAAAATTAAGCCGGACACCAGGATTTTGGCAATTATTTCGAGGGTATAAATGGTAAAAATGACGAGGAAAATGTAGTCTAACGGGGTGCTGCCCCATCGTACGGCTAAAGGTCGATCGAAAACGGATTTTGAGGATTCCACAATGAGTAGGATGGTCTGGATGATAATGATGACGAGAATGAAAGGTTCCATGACTGGATGAACGAGAATATCACACAGCCATAGTCGGACTGGGTGATCCGGACCCAATATACCGAGTGACCTGCCTCGGAATGGGTTGTTTCGATACCGCCATAGTTTCGAAAATGATCGCTTTTCCCGTCCAGATGCATTGGGTGAAGGATCATGCGCATATTCTGGCATTGCGGGAAGCATTGGAGGGCCTTCGAGTCGCGAGCTTTTGTGAGATTCCTCCCTCTCAATGGTCTGTTCTATAACCTCCGGTTCATTACTCAAGTTGACCACACGTTGCGACATGGATTTCACCATGGAGCTGGCTCGTTGCAAAGCTCCGCCAGAAGCCGAGGGGGACAGAGAGCGAGACCGGGCAGTGCTGCCACGGCTTCGTGACAATCCTTCCTCGAGATGGGGCAGATCATCGCCCAGTCGCGATCCTTGTCCAAATTGTAGAGAGTGAACCCCCGTGTCACTGCTCTGTCGGCCCTCTTCCCCGGAGGCGCCGCTAATAGGTTGCAGATATCGTGGATCCGTCAATCGCGCAGTGTCATCTTCATCTTCGACGCGTGGATGCATGTAGCCGTCGTGGTCGTGAGAAGTATAGGCGTCCAGCGGCACATTATCGAGATCGGAAGCGGCGTCATTAAAGTCATGCATCGACGAGGGCCCGGCTATTGATGTTGTTTGGTGCGAATCGTCGAAAGTTGCACCAAATGACATGGCTTGCGCCAGGGCTTCAGGAGGGATATCGTCAGATTCTGGGCCAACATAATGAGCTGGTCGAAACGGATTCCTGATCGCGCCGACTAATTCAACCGGTGATTCTTCGGCCACGCTCTCATAATGCCTCCGCGACCCTCCTCTCATCAATGACCGTCGAGAGAAAAGACTACTCCCCGCACTATTGGCGCGACCTCTGCCGCGCTGCTCCGCGAGGCCCTCGAATCGGGAGAGGTCTTGGAGGGGGATTTGGTTCTCGGGCGAACTGTCATGGTCGCCAGGCGTCTGGCTATTCGGCGCCATCGTCGGGCAGTGTCAAGGATTACCGGATCGGAGACATCGCAGGTCGTGCTGTTCGCATTCGCTCGGCAAGGCAGAGGGGGTCGGTTCGAGATCACCAGGAGCGCGAACGGTAAGAGTGAAAGATTGCGAGGATGGCGGAAGGCGAGTGGCTCCCGTTGATCAGGGGAACAAAGGCGATCAAGAGTATGATTGTGTGCGTATGAGAAGAGAATACAAGTGCTAAGATCAGAAGTGTGAGGGGGTCATGTCGCCAAGAGTCGCACAGCGTAATGGGGCCGAGTTAACTTCGCAGCTGAAAGATGTTTAGTTCAAAAAAAGAGCGACCCGCCGGTCGCAAGATGAACGGAGCCACGGGAGGTGCTGGGCTGGTTCGCCCGGTTGTCATTGGCCCGATGCTCCTCATCCACGACGGAAAGTCGAACATGACATCCCCTAGGTCTGAAACACTGGAGAAGCCTTGTCTTAGTTACTGCAATACGGAAGACTCGATACTAATTTGCTACAGCACGAGAGCTACAGTAGTTAGTTTGTCTTTTGTTCGTAATACTTCTCCGCTATCTCGAATCCTAGCCTCTGTGGCTGAGGAGTGCACAGCCTGTTTTCTGACTGTAAACTATAAATACAATATCTCCATAATACAGGCGTGGTTTACAGATGTACAGTGGCGCTACTAAAGTCTGTGACCCCCTGGTTGACCGCCAGCAGCACCGCCTTCCTACTATAGCCTACCAAACCCCATCAGCGCGTAGTCGCGTAGTCGCGTATCGCGTTGCATATAATATTTTAACCATCAACCACACCACTATGCCTCGCACAAGGGCAGGTTTACCGGTACCTAGCCCTCCAACGCCTAGAGGGCCTATTCCTACTGCCCCTAGGCCTCCTACGCCACCTCTAAGCGACCAGCCAAGACGTAAGAACTGCGAATTAGATGTGAATCTACGCACTCAAATCACTACGTTAAAAGACGTTGCAAAGTGGTCTTATCGTCAGATTCATGCAAAATATCCACATATACCGCTATCAACGATCAAAATGACGTGTCTTCGATCTCGAATTCGACATAAGGAAGAGTCCCGGAAACGATCTGGGCGCCCAAAGATCTTAGATGATAATGACCGTCAAAAGATCCTTCAAAAGATCCACGAAGATCCTCGATCTTCATACGATGATCTGCTCTCTGAGGTCGATCATAAGTGCAAGAAAGTCTCCATCGCGCGCTTACTCTCTATTGAGGGTCTCCGGAAGTGGCGAGTCATGAAAAGACTATATCTAAAATCCGAGCATGCTGCAGCACGGCTTTCCTGGGCTTCACGGTATCAACACTATACTAAAGAAGACTTCGATCGAGTATTCTGGTCTGACGAATGTACAGTTGAACGTGGCTTCGGGCTTCGGCCGGCGTATACCTTTATTCGTCCATCCGACCAAGCAGTCCAAGGCGAAGTTCAGCCAACACCGCATCGTGGGTTCCAAGTTAAACAGATGTTTTGGGCTGCATTCTCTGGGTCGCTTCGTCGAAGCGGCTTAGTAGCCTTATACGGAGACCCAGAATCTCCTCGTCAAGGCGTGAATTGCTTTGTGATTCTTGATTTATATCAGCGAATTCTACCAACTTATCGATCCCGCTTCGATCTTTCAACAAGATAATGCTACAACACATACTGCACAGATCGTACGCGAGTTTGTGGCAGATCTTGGCCGTGAGATTATGATTTGGCCACCTTGCTCACCGGATCTTAATCCAATTGAGAACCTTTGGACTATTTTAAAGCAGAAGATCTATGAGATTCGGCCGGATTTACTACATATGCGGATGCCAAATAACGATACTACCCTTAGTATTCTAGTTAATACAGCTAAGGAGGCTTGGCAGCAGATCGATCTCAGTATACTAGAAAGTCTATCAGAGAGTATGCCACGGAGAGTGCAGGCGATTATTGCATCAAATGGCTGGTATACTAAGTATTAGTTAGTTTTGAATTAATTTGATTACGATTTGGAGGTTTTAGAACGGCAGAATTATTGGCAGAAAGGGGCGGTCAACAAAGGGGGGGTCACAGACTTTAGTAGCGCCACTGTACAGTAATTATTGCTTACATTCAACTCCAGCCTGTACATGGCCGTTACTCGTCTCATCCGCGTCAGTCCGATGGGAAATTACCTCTTCCTCTAGAAGCTGGACGGTTCACGCTAACTTTATCACTATCGTAGCTGCTGACGAGGCCAAGGGCAAAACAGTGTTGCCTGGTGGGGTCTCCGGTTACCAAAAATAGGCCAGAGGACCTGCAAGGAAACAATCATGCTCCATCCATTGATTGTATCACAACGATACGATGATAAATACTACGATGTCCGAAAAACAAGGTATAGTATGTAGCATGTATGGGGGTGTGTAATTCAAAAGACTTTCAAAATAATAATGATAATAGAGCTAATCAATCCGTGTCCATTTGGCCCGACTCATCCTTCTGCTTGACATGTTGCCGAACGCCATCCAGGAACGCTTGAACCGCGTCACCCCCACCAAGGGGCACGCCGCCACGCCGCATAAAACCGCCATTGGCTACGGGAACCTGCAGAGCCTCGCTAATGCTGGGGAGCCCGCCGTCTCGGAGGGCCACGGTAAGACTGGCTAAACTTTGCATGAACTGGGGGGATCGAAGAACACGGCGAAGGATATCTTTCTTTTGGGAAAGATCGAGAGAGAGAAGTGCCGCCTGGGCAAGTTCGGGGTCGGTATCGGCTTCCGCAGCCTCGGCATTGCCCTGGGCCAGCAGAAGTAGTGCCGGTGGGAGGAAGCTTAGAAGGTGATCAACGGTAGTATCGTCGGCAGTTTCGATGAAAGGGAGAGTAGTAGGTGGAGTAAGCAGGTCTTGAAGTGTCGTAGATGGTCGTTCGGGGTCCTGGGATTGGCCTTGGCCTTGTTGCCCACCACCCAGGGACCGCAAGAAGTCTTGAACTACCGATGACGGGTCGCCCGAGGAAGCACTGGAGAAAGAGACAATGATCAGACTTGAGTGTTCTTGGAGAGATGCCCCCAAAAAAGAGATATTGAGGTTGACAGAGATATGTACCTACGCTCGTCCACCATCGGCACCTCCCTCTCGGGATTCCTGTCCCTCCTCGCGGATATCACCTCCCGTGGCATCCGGGCCAGCTCCACCACTGCTTCCGCCGTGATTGTGATTGGGGTCATGGTCTGTTCCTTCCACATCCTCCATGGTCTCGTCATCATCGCCGCCAGATGGCCGCCGGGGAAGGTTGGCGATCTCGTGCTCAACATTCACATCCTCCCCCTGCAGCAAAACATCAACAATCTCACCCAGCTTCAGATCCCGAGGGCTGAACCAGCTAGGGTCACCACCCTCATGTTGGGATTGAGACTGCAACCAGAAGAGATAGCGCTGGGAGCTGGACGAGAACTTCAGAACAAACACGCGTCCATTTGTAGCGTCCTTGCCCGACGGTCTGTAGGGAGTAAAGCTTCCATCTGAAGGAATCATGACCAGATCAAGACTAGGGTCATCGAGAGGGGCGTCACGAGCGCGCCAGCAGAAGTGCATCAGCTCATCTTCGGAGTAGAGGTAAATGTAACCGGGAGTCGGCTTAGGCTTCACGGTGGCGGGGGAGGAAGAGCCCTAGAATGGGGGAAGATTTCGGGTTAGCTATTTCACCTCTCCAATGTGTTGATTAATGGACACTGGGTGGAGTCATTAAAGGGAAATGACTGAGCTGTTGAGCTAGGGCCAGCGCTCGACATACATCAAAGTCGCAGATACCTGCTTTGAAGGTGATAATTGGAGCTATCGACATGGCGGATCCAGTTGATGCAGAAGCTGACAATCTCTGTGGATGGATTAGGTTTCGTCAATCCACGCCGGGTGATCGAGGAGAAATCAGAGAATGGTGGAAGGAGGGAATAAGACTGCGGAGAGAAGCTTGCGGATACGTCAGTTACTGGTGTTTGTGCTGAACAGCTGACTTGCATTGGGGGCGTTTGCGGGCGACCGTGATTTTCACCTGAATATTTAGGCATGAAACGAGACCTTGTGGCCTTGTGGCCTGAATGGTCTGCCAGGCCTGGACCCACCCCAAACCAAAAAAAAGCCGTGCTGATAACCAAGGCGATAGCGCGATGAGTCAGCCCCGTCGGTTCGGCTAACCCGTATCACGTGAGATAGGGCTTCCGCTTCCCACAAACCCTCTAACTGGACTCCACTGGCAAGTCCGCACATCAACCTCCAACACCAACCCCCCAACCCGACAACCACCTACACCATCTTCGTCACCATGTCGGACGGCCAGACGAAGCAGTTTGGAAAGGGCCAGCGGCTCGTGCCCGCCCAGAAGGCTCAGAAGTGGTACCCCGTGGACGACGAGTCGCAGCCTAAGAAGGTCAGTGAAAGACCCCGGACAACCTGCAAATCCGATACATACACCCGCACACACACACTCGAGGAGGATTATGAGCATGCGAGGTTTCGCTCGGATAGATGCGACAACAATTCGCGCCGGATTCTGTTTCGAATGTAATTCGTGGGAGAGAAAATTCACCACGGGCGACAATTCATTCCAAACGAGCCCGGTGGCAGTTGGTGATGACAATTTAAGACGAGATCTTTTCACACTCGAGACGCATCACACGCACCAATGAAAAGATCGAATGGCATTCCATCCGAGCGAAACCGAACTACGCCTCGAAACTCCCGCGAGTGCAAGATCGAATTGCTGGGGAACCACCGCTTCCCTCCCAACGAAGCACAACGCAACGGTCACTAACATTCGCTATTTCCTGCATTACAGGTTCGCAAGTCGATCCGCCCCGCTAAGGTCCGCGAGACCCTCCAGCCCGGTACCATCCTGATCCTCCTCGCTGGCCGCTTCCGTGGCAAGCGTGTCGTCCTCCTCAAGCACCTCGACCAGGGTGTTCTCCTCGTCACCGGCCCCTTCAAGATCAACGGCGTTCCCCTCCGCCGTGTCAACGCTCGCTACGTTATCGCCACCTCCAAGCGTATTGACATTGCCGGTGTGGACGCCAAGACCCTCGAGAAGGTCTCTACTCCCGACTACTTCACCAAGGAGAAGAAGGCTGAGAAGAAGTCCGAGGAGGCTTTCTTCAAGCAGGGCGAGAAGCCCGAGGTGCGTTTTTTTCTCCTCCGCCTGTTCGAGGCTTCTACGGGTTTCATAGCCTGAACATTCGATAACTAACGTATTCATTTTTTTTCTCAACAGAAGAAGAAGGTTGCCTCCGCCCGTGCCGCTGACCAGAAGGCCGTCGACCAGTCCATCCTCAGCAGCGTCAAGAAGGAGGAGTTCCTTAGCAGCTACCTCGCCACTACTTTCAGCCTCCGGAACGGTGACAAGCCCCACGAGATGAAGTGGTAAAAAAGTGCGATGCGGCGGCCGCGGGTTCGGTAGATAGTTGGGGAGGACTCATCTTTCAAGACGAGGGGCGGCTCGATTGCACGTCGGCAACCCTTTCGCGTGGCGGGAGGGGAAAAGGTTTCATGAATCATGTAAATCCTACAAACGGATTCCGTCTACATGCTATTTCGCTTTTTCTAGGGATCGGCGGTTTAATACGGAATATCCGGCTGTTGTTCTTTTTTCAAGATGCCCTGTTTTCTTTTCTTTCCCTTTCGCCCCGTGGCCGGTCCTGCATGACCCCCTCTCTCTCGATGGCTTGCTCGATGCCTTCGAGCGTTTGGGGGGATCAGCCGTGATGTGAAGAAAGACTTCCAAACAAAAAAAGATTAAAAAATACCTCGCTCCAGCCGTCCGGCTGGGAATTTCTCTTTCATGTTCAGTATGACATATACACACCTCCCATTTCCAGGTTCAGGCGGCAAATCCAAAAAATTGGGTCTTTTTCATAGATTGTTCTGCGTATAGATTGTCCTACGAGTATCACGTAGAATAGGCACTTGAGCTCAAGCCATACATTATTGTGGGTTGTGTGTACAAGTATTTGTGCGATAACGACGTAATTGGCTCCATTTGCGGGCTAAATTGTAAAACACAAGATTCTCCATTTATCCGGGGCAAGATCTCCTGCGAAATATATATCTCCACAACTCCCGCTACTACTGACGCCATATCAAATTATCCATCGAGCCTGTAACCAGACACAACGCAAAGAGTCCAAGAGGAAAAGGAAACCGATAAATCAGAAAACATGACTTAAGAAAGACCATCAAACGTGTCAAAACAAAATCTGTACATCAACATTTACAGCCAAAGCGCCTCGAGACCCAAGAAACATTCAATCGTCACCAACGTGCCCGAAGTACCTATATTCATTCTACCATTTACCTCTTCCGCCCATTCCTCCGCAAAGTATCAACGTGCACCTTGCGATTATTCGCATCCATCGCTTGTCTCACCTTCTGCCCAAGGTGATGATCACGAGCCTCATTCCGCACGTCATCCTCGATATCAGTTGCACCAATGCTAGTGCCAAGAATCCAGTCCAGAATACCCCATGGCCCGAAGTTACCCTCCCCCGAGTAAATGATATGCTCTTCATTGCGGCGGGCAATGCCACCCAGGAAGAAACTTGTCGGCATGAAGGTGTACCCGGAGTATGCAAAGGTCTCTTCAATGGATACGGCGGCGGTATAGAGGAGGAAGGTGATCATGTGGAAGCGGAGGAGCATGACTGGAAGATACGTTGGAACGAATCTGTGCGCTAGGTAGACGAGGGGGTGGTCATAATGCGCGGTGAGAGGGAAAGGTAAGCTGAGTTCGTGATACCATTCCTGATGGAGCTTTGTGAGGAATGACCTCGGATGGTGGAGGGCATAGCGGTGCGAAGCGTAAGTCAAACCCTAAAATAATGGGAAATTAGTTACCAGAATCTCCAAAGTAGCAATGAGAAACATAAAGAGAAGAACTTACCTCTCGAAACAGAAAGCCGAAGAATATATCCTGCAACATCGTCCACGGCGTGGGAAGGCTGACGGACACCTTAATTGCACTGCGCATACGCAGGACTCGAGTGAAGAGCCATTCAAGGGTCGCCTGCGTAAACAGAGCCAAGCCAAGATTGAAAAGCGACCATCCGGCGATCTTGAACTCCTTCGATCGAAGCTTAAACCGCTTCCTGCCCCCGGGAAGCCCAGCCTCGCCATGCGCCTTGACGACCACCGCCGCAGACGGTGTCAGGACGTCGAAGAGGAAGAACACGAGGGATGGTACCACAAAGAACGCTAATCGAAAAGCGGCCGTGCCGAAGATTTCCACTCGGAGGGGTGAATGTGACCACACCAGTGTGCTCCATGTCATGTAGAAGAAGAGCAGGTTGAGGGTGGTGGTGTAAGAGGACAACGCGGGAATGAGGAGGAAAGACATGAATGGAATGGATAGGAATGCGCCCATGATATCGAGAGCCTCGAGGCGGTTATCGAGGAGGTTTTAAATAGTGGTTCAAAGGTAGGTCAGAATTGTGGTTGCAGTTGTCGCAGCTCCGAGCGAGCGCGTTGCATGTGGAGCTGGGCAAGTTTGGGGATGGGAATGTGGTTGGACGACCAGGCGCAAATTTGAAAATTGTACAGTCAGTATTTCATTGTAAGGTTGAGAAATTCCGAGATTTGATCAGTTTCTTTCAAGTCATTCTTTCAACTCTGAAACTCGGTCTGGCGCAAAAGAGAATAATGAGAACTTGGGAGGCTGGTAGAGGGGATTTTAGCCAACGCTACGTCACTGCCCGCATTCCGCACGCTTGAGCCACTCACAATGAAATGCTGGGCAATCTGACCACCGACTCAAGAACGCAAAAGGTAATTCAAAGATTGAGAGGGACCGAAATTAACTTTTGGGGAAACAAGAAAAGGTATTTGAAAATAAAAAAAAAATTCAATCTATACACTGGCACTAATAATAGAAGTGCACGATCGCAATCGGACAAAGAGAGCGCTGCGTCTCAATCAGACCCAAAGAAGGAAAGGAGCCTTGTTGGAAACATGCAGGGTATGGTGCGAGCACCGGCTAGTGGGTCGAAAATGGAAGACTAATACAGTGGTGACAATTATGACGAAGTCTGGCCCAGGTTCGAGGCCTTGGGAAGTCCGTTGGTCTTGCCCCAGTTGAATGCTTTGTTGCGCAGGTCCGGAATAACTTGAAGGAAGACCAGGTTGCTAAGCCAGCTGAGCAGGGTGTCACCAACAAGAGCATTGCGAGGACTGGCTCCGAGAGCGGTTCCCTTCATGATACTGCCAACAAACATGGTGGTGATCAGGTATTCACCACGCTCCAGAGCGGCAATGGTAATCCGGGCGACCTCCTCAGGAGTCTGGGGCTTGTCAGCCTCCTCGAGCTTCTTGGTCAACTCGGGTTTTAACTTCTGCTCGTTGTCAAATCCAGGGCTGAGAATACCCATGGGGAAGACAGTGTGAATCTTGATATCAGCAGCCGGAGCCGAGTTGCGGTGTCGCTGGCTATAGACTCCATTGTACATCTCGATCTCCTGGCTGAGGGTATCAGACAAAGAGCGAATGGCAGCCTTGGCCGGTGAGTAAGGACCATAGCCCGCGATTGGAACGAAGGCAAGGGTAGAGCAAGTGAAGATGAAGTGCCGACGAGGGTTCTTGACCTGCACGCTTGGGGGAACCGGGGTCAACCAGTTGCGCAGGGTGGCATGAGCCATATTAGCGGCAGTCCAGTAGACAGTATCCATCTGCTGACGCTGGGTTGAGAGGGGCACATCGGTGAAGAAACCGGGATGGCAGAAGCCGGCACAACAGAAGACAGCATCGGGGGCACAATTGTCATTCCAGGCAGTGACCTCGGAAATCACCCGCTCACATTCGGCGCTATCAATCAGATCAGCGCTGATGTAGAAGAAGCGCTGCTTCATGGGGTTCAGAGCACCGAGCTAAGGGGGAAGGATTAGCGAAATGTTTGGCAAAACGGGCGATATGGAAGCATGGAGGTTTACCTTTAGTGCTTCAACAGTGCTCTGAAGCTTGGAGACAGTTCGAGCAACCACAACGACGTGAGCACCTTTGGCGGCGAGCTGGATGGCGAGAGCACGACCCATGCCATCAGAGCCACCAGTGATTAGGATAGTCTGGATAAGAGATGTTTAGTCGCAGGAACTTAAAAGCATGCAATCTAAAGGGGGAAATTCCAATTGGCAGTGCGACCTACTCGACCCTCGATGGGAAACTCGTTCTTGCGACCGAATCCGAACATTTTGGCAACCGTATAGGCGATAGCGGTGCAGACCAGTATGGATACTCCGAGTAACGAGGTGGAGATATTATAGGGTGGAGTGAATGAGGAAAGTTGAGGCATGAGGGAAAGAATGGGAACAGAAGAACTACATAAAACAAGACTGGGAGGTGAGATGGAGGCTGATTGTGGAAGTTGATGTCCCTCGTTGCTGGTGATTCCGAAGCTGGCAGGAGCGTTTTATGTGCCTGTTACAATCCAGAACAGCGTTACCATACCAAATTGCGGGACAGAATACCTGAAGCTGTATCAACTTCGTATATCCAATACTCACTACCTTATCACTGCAAACCAGACAAACAACGACCCGCAGCTTCTGCGCGGGCGGTGAGCGCTGCTCCAAAAAATTATTTTGTCAGTGATCAATCGACTTGGAGCAGTGACAGTACGCACAATTCACCATGGGCAAGAAAAGAAAGGCCGGCGGTCGCCCTGCGCAGAAAGAAGATGCCCCATTACGCTCAAAGTTTAGCGTTGAAGAGCGGTTCGAGGACTCAGAAGATGAGTTCCAGGCCAACCGTGACCAGATTCTGCTAGAGGAGGCCCCAGAAGCCAAGCGCCGCCGCAGAGTGGCAGAGGATGGTACGATAATTCCTTACTTTGGAGTTTCGAGAATGCAGAGTGCTGACTTTTTACATAGAGGAAGTACTTCAACCTTCGGATGAGGAGATTCTAGGTTACGAGTCGGTGGACGAGGATGAGGATGATCTCGAAGACGAAGAGGACTACGATGAAGACGACGATATGGGCCTGTCAAAGAAGGCTCGCGACGCCGCATCCGATGAGGAGGAAGAGGGTATCGCCGCCTGGGGCTCGTCCAGGAAGGACCTCTACAACGCCGACCAGATCGAGACCGAGGCAGATGCTCTGGAGGAAGAGCAGGAAGCCAAGAGGCTGCAGCAGAAGCAGCTGCAGGCCATGAACGAGGCTGACTTTGGTTTCGATGAGTCTGAGTGGGTAGAGTCCGGCAAGACCGCGGAGGATGACGCAGAGGACAACGGCGTGATCACCGAAGTTCTTCCCCAGCTGGAGGTTACCGAGGATATGGATGATGATGAAAAGCGCAAAATTTTGAGCTCAAGATACCCTGAGTTTGAGCCACTGGCCAAGGAACTCGCCAGCCTTCAAACTGTCTACAAGGATCTGCAGAAGGCAGCCTCGAAAGCTACGTCGACACCCCGTGAAGATTCCGATGAACCCCAACCAGCCCCTGTGGCTGTGGTCAAGCTCCGCGCCTTATCGACCTACCTTGGTACAATCAGCTTGTACTTCATGCTCCTTGCTTCCTCCCCCGAAGGCTCCGATACTCACGTGCCTTTGTCCCCCGCCGAACTCCGTCAACACCCTGTGATGGGCTCTTTGGTCAAGTTCCGAAAGCTGTGGGAGACTGTCAAGGACCTCGAGATCTCGGAGCCTGTGAAGGTTATCGAGAAGCCCGTGAGGGTCGTTTCGTCCGAACCTACCAAGGCCGAGAAGCAACCGAAGAAGACAAAGGAGGTCAAGGAAGTGCCACAGAAGAAGAAGTTGAGTAGGGCAGAGCGGGCAGCTGAGATTGCACGAGCTGAAGCCGAGGCTCGTCGTGCTGAGCGTCTCCGCCAGACGGAGGCTGACCTGGCTGATCTTGACGACCTGGTCACGGCACCTACTCAGAAGCGC